TAGTGCGTTTCATTGGTATACTTCGCGGTTGCATAAAATTTTTTGTCTCAAGGCTATAAGGATTCTTCCTCTATCCAGTCTTTCCTGAGATTCTTGTCATGTCCTCTAAGATTTTGTTTTATACTTTCTTGAAACATGTTAAATCTTTGGAGCCTGGATTTCGTTTGGTAGGACACGGGTTTCAGTTGGGATTTTTGTAATTTTTCGTTGCACACGCTCCAACAGCTCTACATCTTTATAGTATATACTCAAGTTTGGGGCTAGATTGTACCTACTCAGTACTAGGTACACTCGCTGATTTGCTTTTTTCGAGTTTCTTCACAACTTGCCCTATGTGTGTTTCCCATTTTAGATCCTGGCTTATGTACAGTCCAATGTTGGTTAACACTATTTAGCATGCTCCCATTCATTTCGTAGTTTATCATTCGATTATTTTTTTCCACATGAAGCACTGTGCATTTCTGTTCGTTAAGAACTGACATGGGAGCTGAAACTAATGCAGATGCCATGTCAGTCCACTGTTTGAGGGCACACAAGTGCTCTTGAAATTGACCAATCGTTTTAAAATGGATTGAAGAAGATTTAATGCCATCTGCGAAGCATTCCGAGTTACTTTCTAGTCATTAGATAAGTATATACAGTATGAAAAGAATAGAAGATAACACTGATCTTTGTGGCACAGCGCTGATGATTACGTGGTAAGGATCTGAACATGTTCAATTGAACCCTGGCCGTGTTTTTCCTGTATTAAGGAAGGAATTGCTCCATTGATCATTGGATTCATTGGTGACATTGGTGGTAGAAACCTCTAATTCCGTATAGTCTAGTCTAGTTTGTAGAGGAGTCTTTCATGTGGGACAGTGTTGAAAGCCCTTTGAAAGTCTAGATATACTATGCCACTAGGTCTCCCTCGTCAATTTCTTTGGTCTTGGTCCAATTGTTAACACAATTACTTAAGAGATTGATAGTGATTGATTTTCGTGGTAGAAATCCGTTGTGATGATGGAATGATAGAATTTTCTAATAGAAATCTTGTGATATCCTTTACAATAATTTTTTCCATTGCTTTACAAAGTGTGCACGTCAGACTTACTGGTCGGTAGTTTACAGGATTTTGCTTATCTCCGCTCCTAAAAATTGGGACTTTGATCGCTTGAGTCCGAACTAATGGCAAGAGGCCGAAAAACGGCAGGTATTCCGTCGGGTCCTGGACTTGAATAGGTTTTTAGTTCTTTTAGCACTTCGCAAACTTGTTCTGGTGTAGGTGTAATATTCTTGTTGTTTATTTCATTTGGTATGGGTTTCGCGTTTCGTCTGGCATCGTGGGAAAGTTATGGAAGCATTCTTCAGTGGAGACTGTTTAAAACTGATTGGCGAAAACTTCCGCCGTTTCTCTGAGGTGAGCGATTATTTGCTGATTTACTTGATCTTTATTCCAATTCAATTCAATTCAATTCAAATGAGCTTTATTGTCCTAATTTTTTCTAAAACGTCATTGACAAATCAAAACTTAATTCTAAACAAAACAAAAAAATTATACCTATTCCTACCTTATCTATGTCAACAATAAAGAATTTCGTCTATAAAAATACAAATATAAAATTTGAAACACAGAAAAACAGTTTAAAATTTACGAGCATGTAAAATCCGCAGTAAAATCCAGAAGCCAGTCAAAACATTCACAAGAGCATCCGACAAACGGACGAAGTTTTAAAGTTTATAAACGTGATGTACGCAAAAAGATTTAGCAATTAACAAATAAACAATTAAAGACAGATAAACAATTTGAATTGTCCAAACTATCCAGGTTACACAAGTAACAAGACCATCAACAAACCGCGCTTTGGCATTCCTTCGTAAATTAGATTGTTTTGTCAGAGTCAAAGTAAATTTAGCGATGGGTAACGGTGAGTTTTTATGGTAATTTCGCAAATTATGAAACTCAGTTCTGTTAAAACCTTGGAATTTTTTATGTATGAGACGGTATGAGGCCAGCTATTTCTATTACAAAAATTAATGGAACTGACAAAATTTCTTCCCGTAGAAAGACTGGTTTGCTGACAACTAAACTCCGCATACAAAGTTATAAGGGCTCTTTTTGTAGAATGAGCACTGATTGAACAGAGGCTTGGGTTGAGAATTCCCAGGAGGGTACCTATTCCATATCTGATATGAGATTCCATCAAAGCATAATAAGCTAATTTAGCTATATCTTTGCCCAACTCGTGTGATATACTTTTTACCAAATAGCAGCCTTGTGATAATTTCTTCAACAGTCGACTTTTCTTCCTGAAATTTATCATTTAGGGTAATGCTATCCAGTGAGCATTTAAACGATAGAATATTAATTTGTTTTCGAAACATTAAATACAAGAGAGTTTGCGTCACACCATTCCTTTAATAAAACTAGATCTTTTTCTATGATATAAGGCAAAACTGCTGCATCCTTGTGCTTCCATAGAATAGTCGTATATCGTCGTCGAAAATTACGAAGACACCAAGTATTGATAAAGGAGCAAGATCATTAATGTAGAGCAGGAAGATAACCGGGCCGAGTACAGACCCTTGTGGCACACCGCGAGATAGATTTAGAGTTTCTGAGTCCTTATGGTCTCGCATTCTTACAAATTATTTTCTCCCAGAAAAATACGATCCAAACCAGGCCCTCGGATACCATAATGTCTTAGTTTCCGCAGTAGTATTTCGTGACTTAAGCAATCGAATGTTTTTGAAAAGTCACAAAACACCATTGCAGCCTTCTCAGCATCGTTTAAGCAAAAAAAAAGACTCTCAAGGAGTGAAAACATTGCATCGTTTGTCCCTTTGCCTTCCTGCTGGAATCCGAACTGGTTTGGAAATAGAATGTTGTTATTTTTTATATAGTTAACTAGCCTCTTTTTTACTATCTTTTCTATAATTTTTGATAGATTATGATCTGTATATTATGCAGCATAGTTTTAATCTGATTTTTGTTATGCGTATTTATCCTATAACTTCCTCTTGAGGTTGATTCCTTTGAAAATGTGTGGGTTTAATCGAGGTTTGTGGACGTTGCTCCAGTATAATTTTGCAGGAAAGAATGTATCGATTGTTGTTGTTATGATGCTTTCAAATTTTTCGTACTTCTTGACATTTGGTTCTATGCCTTCTGCTAATTTTTTTTAAGTTTTTTATATTTTATTCGTTGATGCGTTAATAATTGCCGAGGGGGAAGTTTCGTTTTTATCATTTCATTGTTGAATTTTGTTTATCTTAGCTATGCTGTACCCATAATTGATATGATCACTTTTCCCAAACAGTACTTAAGACTCTATCCAATGACATATATTTTTTTTTATCGCTTAATATTATTAGGAAAAGATCCAGTAGAGAACATGGATTGCCTTTCAATCTTGTATCGAAGGTCTGATGACATCGCGCCATTCTTTGTAACAGGTTAGAAAGTCACTGGCCTTTTGACATGGTTCAGTCAATTTTCAAGATTTCCAATATATCTCTGGGTTGCGAAAATCACCACCTACAAACATTTCGTCATCGTCTTCGAAAACTTTCAGCAACATTGTGAAGATCTGAATTTTCTTCACGAGTGATTCTTCCTGGTCTATAGACAGTATAGACACCTACATGTTAATAGGAAGTTTTAATCTTATACAGAGTGATTCAAGAGTAAGCGGCATCCTTTCGGCGGCGTATTCCTTACATTAAAACAAAATGTTTCTATGAACATGGGTCCGGAAATGCTTCCTAAGGGAGCTACGCCCCTTCGAATAGGACACCTGAAAGACGTTTTTTTCTCTATAACTTTGAAACCCTTCACAAATGAATTTTGAAAATTGGTGTATTTTATAAACATTTGATGGCAATTAATTGAAAATTCAAAAATCTTGATCAATGGCGTCACGTACTGGGGAGGGTGAGGAAAATTGGGATGTTTTAATCCCAATTTTCCAAGTCAATTTTCTCGTAAACGGTACGCTGTATCGAATTGAACCAAGAGTACCTTTTCTGTGTAAAAAACTCTAAACTTTCCGAATTTTTAATCCGAATCGCAAAAATCTGAAGAGTAAAAAAAAAAATCGGATGTTTTAACCATCACCGTCCCCAGTATGTGACGCCACTGATTAAGATTTTTGAATTTTCAATTTAGTATCTTAATTGCCATCTTTTTGCCGTTTTTCCAGTGTCCTATTCGAAGGGGCGTAGCTCCCTTAAGAAGCATTTCCGGACCCATGTTAATAGCAACTTTTTGTCTTATTTTTATGCAAGGAATACGCCACCGAAAGGATGCCGCTCACTTTTGAATCACTCTGTATATCTACATTCAAGTGAAATGGTCTTTATTTTGAATCCGTTCGTGTCGAACGCTGCATATACACACATTTTTTTACAAATCATTTTTAAAACCAACGTTTTTTAAACCACAGGAAAAATTAGATTCCATCTGGAATTAACTCAACATTATGAAAACCAGAGCGAAAAAACTAAGCACCTACTGTAGCATTCCACAGTGCAATTCATAGTATAGGAAATATGATAGAAGTCATTATTTTGTTTCAAAGTTTTCCTCTAAAAAAGTTTGAATACTTATGGTATTGAAGACATTCTTTCCTTCAAATTGAATCATTGAAAAAGTTAATCAACTATTTGAAAATAATGTAACACTACTAGAAACCAGAACATCAAGCACTAAAAAGTGAGGATATTTATATCCAGCAAATTCATTTCAGTCATCAAACACCAGCACTGGAGTCTTTAACTTGAATTTCTAAAAGCCTTTCTAAAATAAATCTGTGGAATAAATCAAACTGATTTAATTAAACAAAAAATATGGCTTAATTAACATTTAATTTAATTATATGTAACTATATTCCCAAGTGACTAGGTATAAGAAATACGAAAACATAATTAAATAAATAGACACACATTTGCTATTATTATATTTGGAACAGTTATACTTACTGGAATCTTTATATGACAATGCACAATTTAATAAACATTATCTAGGCCCTTTGTTGCTGCCTGTAAGTTTCCCTCAACATCCTTAGATTCTCTTCCAAAGAAGCCACTTCCTCAAATCTTTGAGCTTTCCGTGCCTGATCAATATAATTTTTAACAATCCTCATTTGCTCTATCAAAGGATTTTCTTGTTCATTATCAATACTAGACGCACTTGCAGGAGCTGGGGACCATCCAGTGGCCACGGCAACAGTCCTAATGCTTCGACGATCAAGGGTTTCAGGCAAATCGTCGTCCTTAAAACTCATAGCAAGCTTGTGCCTGATTCTATCGATTTCGTCCATTGTTGGGGGAGTTGGCAACGTTAGAAGAGAGTCTTTTATGTAATTTGATGTGGATTTCCTGATGTTGTTTTGGAGCAAAGCTGCCTTTGGAGTCTCAGGGTCGACAGGTTCAGAAGCAATTTTTTTGCTTAGTGTATCCATCATTTGGGCTTTTTCAGCTATGGAAGATCTTAATGTTTGGACATCTTGCAACAAAAAAGTTGTTTCTCCAGAAGTAAGAGAATTATACATCTTCAAACATAATTGTTATTTAATTTATAATAGAAACAGGTTTAATTAAATTACCTTATTATAAAGTTCCACAGCTGCTTCAATTTGCTTTTTGTTATTTTGCAGCAAAGAATACAAATGCCATATAGTGGGTTTGATCATTTGATCTACTTGAACTCGCCTGCGGCTTTCCAGCATGTTCAAGCAATGATTACAAATTCTTAAAGTATCTGAATCTTTGCCTGAATATTCTTTGTCGTTGACGCTATTGACTGGAGCCACAATAGTCTCTTGAAAAAATATGTTTCAATTAAACAAAAACTAAAATGAGTTGAAAACCTTACGGGCAATATCATATGGTAAGAAATATGAACAATTATTGCACATAATACTGCCGCAAAGTCTGCAATGATGTTGTCTTCTAGCGATGTTGAAACTAGCGGCACAAGAAGGGCATCGGGTGACTGTAGAACCATCTAACCAGACAACTAATTCTTGCTCCTGTTGCTTTCTGTCTGAACCAAAGGTTCTCAATAGTCGGTCGAGTCTAATGATTAATTTATTTGTTTCTGTTGTTCTGTGTTCTAAACGTTCACGTCTGATATCGCGGAAATAATTTGTATGGCACTGCGATGGTCCAGGATCTTGTGGATCGCTGGAGTCAAGGTAGTATTTTTCACGGGTCAGTTCTTTGAACGTTTGTAAATCTTGGTCGTCTAGTTTTAGGATTTTCTTTTTGGCTTTACCATATATACCTGTAGAATAGGTTTGTGGAAATTAGTAAGTAGTAGTTTAGTGCGACAAGTACCTTTGAGGGATTTGAGAAATTCCTGATCTTCGGAATGCAAATCTTGAAAATGGGACAATAAATTTTGGGGGGATCTCATGTCCTTGTGGCATATTGGACAGAGGAAGCCTTCTTGGATGGCAATTCCATCTGCCATGACTTAAATAATTTAGTATTTATTTTTTAACAAAAATTAGAAAAAGTAGGTGTACACAGTACACAATTTTTTAAAAAAACTTAACCTAACCTTATTAACTCGATTAAAATCAGCTGCTGAAAACCCTACAATGTTGCCATATTGCCTCAAATTGAAGTAAATCTCATGACTCATTAATGAAAAAGTCTATTTCTAGCAAAAATTAAACTTATAAAGCAATAAAAATAGTTGTTAACAAAATTAAAAGTCCTTTAAAAGATCCTTCAAGTGTCGCTGATACAAACACATAAATTTAACAACAAAAGCCTCCATATGAACAATATGCTTATTTCCCTGCCACATTCTGTACTCGTAAGTGGAGGCTTCTTGCAACACTTGCGGAATGATTTGCTTGTCGCACTTTAAAACAAGAGCAGTAATAAGTTCCTTAAAAATTATTTCAGGTGGAATTCCACTGGCGAGGAGCTCATAGAGATGTTCACGTACAACCATGATGTTTTCAATGCTCTGACGATGAGTGATTATGGTGGCGGTTTGTTTGATGAATACTTTCCAGTCTGGTTCGGGAAGTTCTCGGTTTGGTTGGAGATTGTTCTCGACTTTGCAAGCTTCGCATATGAGGATTGCTCGGCGTAAATTGCCATTGACTGATTTTGAGATTTTTTCTATTAGGGTTGCTGGTATTGCAGTGTCTTCCTTTTTACATATTTTCTGCAAAGAAAAATAGTTACAACAATAATTATTAGTAAACTACGAATTCTTACTGAAATTATTGTAGAAATCTCCTCGATAGTTGGGGCAGGGACTCTAATAGGCAAACAACGAGATTGTATAGCAGGTATGATAGGAGACAAAGATGTGGCGCAAAGGATAAGCCTGCAATTCCTTGAATACTTTTCCATAGTTCTCCTCAAAGCATGTTGAGCATCTTTAGTGAGATTATCGACTTCAGTCAGTACAACTACTTTGAACTCTCTCTGATTGTTTGTGATAGCAATTTGCTGAGATTGAGCGATTTTCTTAATCAAATCCATCACAACTACTCTGTCGTAGATACCTGCATCTGATGGATTTATTTCGATGTGATAGTTGCTGTTGATGGTCATTATTTCGACTTTTTTGTTAGATGGAGTTGTAACTGTAATGTTTTCGGACTTTAGTCGTTCTACGCCAGTGCCGAAGAGCTCCTTTAAAATACACATAATACGGGTTTTCTTACCGGCCCCACTGGGGCCATAAACGAGCAAATGAGGGAAGTCACCATGTTCTACCAGGTTCTTCAATTCTTGGGCTTGCTGAGTATGGTAATCTAGGGTTGAAAGGTCTTTGGGACGGTACTTGTCTACCCATAATAGACTCATATTTTGATTTATTAAAAAACTGTGCTGTTTAGGAAAGTTGTTTTAATTTAATAAAAACCGCCAAAATTAAATATTGAGGTTTTGGTCACTTGTCTCTTCTGTCTGATATGTCTTTTAGAGAGGGGCTTATCGGTACGGTATATCGATATATACATCGATTTCTGTTTTATGTTTATGCATATTTGGTTTTAGTACATTAATATTCTAAAAGAAATCTTGTTTAGATCTCGTTTGCATCTTCCTCTTGCCGATTATGTTAATAAAAATGAAATAATATTTTTTATCCTAAATGTATATTCTTAACTACAACCGCTGGCGCAAACCGCTTACGACACCTTTGATGACGTTGACAACGGTGCAACACCATATTATGAACTTGATTCTAAAAATCGAAGCCGATGAGCAGTCCTGTAGTAGTGTGTAATATCCTTGGTGTAGCCTTAGCAAAAATGTGCGATTTCCAACGCTCTGTTTTTAGTGTTAAGCCGGGCTCAGACGACTCGTGTATTTGGCGAATACACAATTATTCGCGTACTTGGCAAGTATTAGGCAATTCAATCCATCTGTCAGATAGGAAAATTCAATATGGCGTGGCGGACAAGCAAGTTTGTTTTGAATGTGTTTTTATGCGTATTTCAAATTATTTTGCTTAGAGTTTTGCTTGCAACTTTGATTTGGATTATTTAATAAAATATTTGTTGACTAGGTACCTAAACTAATAAATCGGGCAGAATCTAGATATTTTTTTGTGTTTTTTGGCCCAGCAGGGCGCTCACACGACGTGTTCAATTTACAAGTACGCGAGCGCGAACATTTGGCTAAACCTTGATGCTCGTCAAAAACTAAATGAAATAGTCGCAGTGAAAGCCAATTATTTCTATTTGTGCATTTCGTTTGAGCGCCTCTACAAGTATAGACAAGTATGAACTTGGCAAGTGTGTACGAATAATCGTGATCCTTTTGACTCGGGACATTTTTACCGACAAGAAATGGAAAACCAACGAATGACAAATAATTGTACAAGTAACCCACTCAAGCCGGGCTCAAACGACTCGTGTACTTGACGAATAATCGTTACTTGCGTATACTTATTTGCCATGCCGTGTGAGTGGGTTACTTGTACAATTATTTGTCACTCGTTGGTTTTCCATTTCTTGTCGGTAAAAATGTCCCGAGTCAAAGGGATCACGATTATTCGTACACTTGCCAAGTTCATACTTGTAGAGGCGCTCAAACGAAATGCACAAATAATTGGCTTTCACTGCGACTATTTTATTTAGTTTTCGACGAGCATCAAGGTTTAGCCAAATGTTCGCGCTCGCGTACTTGTAAATTGAACACGTCGTGTGAGCGCCCTGCTTGCCATCGCAATTCGCAAAGCTCGTATACTTGCCAAGTACGCGAATAATTGTGTATTCGCCAAGTACACGAGTCGTCTGAGCCCGGCTTCACACGACATGGCAAGTATACGCAAGTAACGATTATTCGTCAAGTACACGAGTCGTTTGAGCCCGGCTTTAAATTTATTACGATCAAAGAGCAAACAGCGTAATCTAATTTATGAAATCTTGAAACCGGAAAATACCGGTAAGAACCGGTTAATGTATATCCGTTCCGTTTCTGCCTGCCTTACAACATTTCCATGAAATATGGGTTTCGTTCCGGTCCGGTCCGCAAGAAGTAAAAGGGTTCCGTTCCGGTTTTCGGTTCAATATCGTTTCGGTCCGGTTCCTGAAGGCAACCCGTCTTCGTCTAGTCTAGAGTAGGCGACTCGGATGAAGACCAAAAATAGAAACGCAATGAAACGTCGTAAAGTAAAAAATACATACCGGGAAAGGTACGACGAATGGGCCACTTTCAAATTTCTCAAAAATATTTCTAAATTATTGTACCTATTATGTTAATCAAAATTAAACAATACTTTTGATCAATAATGTATATTCTAAACTACGACCGCTGGCGCAAACAGCTAATAGCACAGTGAATGACGTCGAAAACGGTGCAAAACCATATGACCTTTTTGATTCCGAAAATCGAGGCCGATGAGTAATCCTGTAGTAGTGTGTAATATCTTTGGGTAAATTGGTCAACATAATAATTATGAAAAGAACGAGCAGTTCTTCATCTGGACGTAAACCAAGAACACTTAACCGAATGGGACTGCTTATTAATTATTAAGCTGAAAATGTCTGTCATTTCAGCCGCAGACCTGAACTCTTGGCGTGAAATGCATTAGCTGAGTTTGAAACAGTATCAGTACAAGGTATCAGGGACCGACTGGGTTCTGAATTAACGGCGGGCGATTTTCTACATGGGGCGCCATCACCAAGAAAAAGTTGAAGTAAGTATAGGGTCACTTGAGCCTAGGAACTTTTTCGATACCGTGGGAAAATCGGCGGATTTTGCTGGTTTTATGCTGGTTCAGCTAGTTTGTGCTAGTATTCACTGGTTTTGTGCTGATTTTCACTGCTTTTCACTGGATTTATGTTGGTTTAGCTAGTGAAAACCAGAAAATCCAGCAAAAAAACAGCTTATCCAGCCTAAAACCAGTGAAAACCAGTAAAATCCACCGATTTTTCCACGGCATCGAGAAAGTTCCGAGGCTCAAGTGACCCTATACCTACTAATTGAAAGTTAGGCTCATGTTATCGACAAGAATAAATTATCGAACCGTTATTTGTTTTCCAAGAAAAAAAATCAACATTTTATTGAGGTTTTCGCTAGTTTTAGCAACATTATTTATAATTTCGTTATTGTCTAATGACATGAGTGAAATTTTTTCCACAGACATTATCATAAACACTTCCAGGTTGTTGTGATTTAGGTTACTTAGTAATTGATTTAAATATTGTTCAGCTTTTTGAGCTTCGATCACAACTAATTTGCTTGTTTATTGACATTGATAGTCGACAAATATTTGTAAGCTTTCGAAAATATTGGATAACCATATGCGTGAAGGTTGACACGGTCCAAGTGTACGTGGATCAAGTACCCTTGGACGCTGTGCGCGCGTCACTTGGACGATACTGGGATTGTACTTGATCCAAGTTCTCATCCAAGTACACTTCGACCAAGCACTTGGACCGTGTCAAACTGGTTCTAAGATTGAATTTGATTGATAGCCTGTAACTGCAATAAATACAGTTTTTGCAAGACTTGCAAACTGTTTCACTGGTAATCTGCTCTATAATCTTCACTAGACCGAATACACGAGGAGAGCCCAAGGCACGAGCAAGATGGTGCTTGTCGGGCGGAAGGCTCTCGGCACAAGAATAGCATGACGATTGGAATACAACCCTAACCTAATTCACAGAGCGCGGTAAAAGTCCCAGAATTTAATATAAAACTTTAATGGAAACTCGAAATTCTTATTAATATGAGAGCACTAAATTAATAAGTAATCGATATTCCGAATTTATTAAAAAATATTTTTAAACCTTAATTTGATATTATTTATATTTTATAACTAAACAATGCCGACAGGGCGCTAAATCTTAAGGGCGCGGCGGGCTCCGCCCGCCAGCCCGCCGGGCCAGTCCGTCACTGCAAGGTATCAGTAACAAGAAAACAAATCCTAAACCTAATAATCTTGGTAAATAAAATCGGGTGTGACATCACCACTATAAGCTGCTATATGGTTGAGTTCGGCTTAACACTCGGTGAACTCTGAGCGCGCTCGAAACGATAAGATCGTTCGTTTTAGCACTCCGAGTGTTCTCTTTTGCGTTCGGTTACAATCGAGCACGTATCCCTGGGCTGCGTTCAAAAACGGCTAAAGCCGAGCCAAAATTGGCATATTACGTTCAAGTGCGGCTCCAGCGTGCCAAAAACGGTTGGCTTTACACGTTCCAAATCGGCCGCGGTAAAGTAACTTTTGGAGGCTCTTTCAACTGAGTCTAGAAATGGTTATACGAATTTTGATTGGATGAAACCAAATTCAATATGGCGTGGCGACCAGCAAGTTAGTTTTGATTATGTGTGTTCATGCATATTTCAATTATTTTGTTTGTTTGCAGCTTCGATTTTGATTATTCAATAAAATATTTGTTAACTAATTACCTAAACTATTAAGTCGGGCAGAAACTAGAGATTTTTTGTGTTTTTTGGTCCATGTATGGTCGCCACGCCATATTGAATGTCACGTGGTTTGGATTGCTTATTGAGAAACGGTATTTGGCGTTCCATCGAATTCACACCAGATTTGGCATCGCCGGTAGAAGGGGAATAGTAGGTTTTGGCATTAGCATTGCCGTCTTTGAACGCACTCCTGAGCTCGCTCTCTTTTCCGATGGATGGATGGACAACCCGACAACCAGAGAAATTAGGCAATTTAATCCATCTGTCAAAAAGGAAAATTCAATATGGCGTGACGGCCAAGCAAGCTTGTTTTGAATATGTTTTTATGTGTATTTTAAATTATTTTGCTTAGAGTCTTGCTTGTAACTTTGATTTTGATTATTTAATACGATATTTGTTGACTAGGTACCTAAACTATTAAATCGGGCAGAAATTAGATATTTTTTTGTGTTTTTTGGCCCATATGTGGCCGCCACGCCATCTTGAGTGTCACGTGGTTTGAATTGCCTAATTAGGGGTACTTTCGAAATGTCACCGATAAATTGACCGGTTAAATGAACCGGTAGCTGTCAAAAAATTCCGATAGGTAAGTGTAAATCCGGTTACAAGATTTTTCTACTGCATTTTGGAACGCATTAGTTCTTTTCACGTGGCTCCGGTTTAACTAACCGAGTTACAAAACGGTTAGAGAAATGACATACCGTTTTCTAACCCGGTTACAAAGTGACGTGATGGATACCTATCACTCGAATTTGAGCGGTATGGCCGGTATGTTGCGGTTTGTTAAACCGGAGCCACGTGAAAAGGGTTTTTGGTGTATTAAATTTGGTTGTGTTGGTTGTGTTGGTGGTGTGGTGTGGGGTAAGGTTGGTATGCATTTTTATTATTTTTAACTGTAAACAAACAGTAGTTTTCAGTACGATATTTATAGATTATTTGAGTTGAGTTGAGTGTTTGGTTTATTAGGCAATTCAATCCATCTGTCAAAAAGGAAAATTCAATGTGACGTGGCGGCCAAACAAGTTTGTTTTGAATATGTTTTTATGCGTATTTTAAATTATTTTGCATACAGTTTTGCTTACAACTTTGATTTTCATTATTTAATAAAATATTTTTTGACTAGGTCACTAGGTACCTGAACTATTAATTCGGGCAGAGACTAGATATTTTTTTGTGTTTTTTTTGCCCATGTGTGGCCGCCACGCCATCTTGAATGTCACGTGGTTTGAATTGCCCAATTCTGTAATCTGCAAGCAAAAATTAAACGAACGACTGCCGATAGTGCCCATTCAAAGCAATCAAATGTACTGTTTGTTTCATGAAGGTTTGAACTTTTACCTTCCTTTTTTAACAAATAAAAATTGACTGAAACAAATTAATGTGGTCATAAACGTTTGTCGGTTCATAAATAACCAGAAGTCATTCAATAGGATTGTCAAAAAAATTGATTGTGTTAAAAGACTCGTAAATAAAAGTATATGAAATCTACGATACCTTCTTTTTAAAGTTATGACATCATCTATGCTATATCAAAAGTACAAACCTTCGTGAAATGAACTTTACGTCAAAATCAAAACAAAAAGTTTCCAAAAATCTCCTGTGGGTATAAAAGAGAATAGTGGTAGTAGTATTTTTGCATCAAAACTCTTTATAATAAAAAGAAAAATTGAAATTTCGTGTCGAAAATATCGATATTTTCTCATATTGAAAAGGAGTAAGTAGAGATTTTGAAAGAATATCGTATCGATACCTATGAATATCGATATGCCCTCGAGTTTTGACATCTTACTATTTAACCGCCGCGGCGGTAAATCTCAGCTGCTGCTTGATTTTTCTTGGAAAGTTTTTGAAGAATTTGATAAAACTCTTCAAAATAAAAAATACTCATTATCAAAAATTCAAGTGTATTAACAAAAGTTCGATCTTAATCTAATCATGACCCAAAAAATGTTTTAATATCTAGTTAACATACGTCAGCAATTTACAAAATAATGAATTCGAGTAACGAAATAATAGTGGTAGAGAGGGCCCACGGGGGCCTTCACTGTGATAAAGACGCATTGACGGATATGTTCGGATGGTTTTTACAAGTGCTCCTGGCCAGTCTCGCGTTCACGTGCCTTATAGCCAAAAGATTTTGCGAGCCGAGACTTCACAGAAGAAGCTGGCTGATTTGGTTCTATGATACATCGAAGCAGGGAATGGGTGCGATGACAATACATTTGGCTAACGTATGGTTAGCTGGACAGTACCAGGGTGACCCTTGTACTTGGTACCTCATCAATTTTTTACTAGGTGAACTTTTGATAATCAAATTTTTCTTTTAAATATTTGATTTGTTTTTAGATTCTTCTTTGGGACTTTTAATAATCTTTGTGGGTATAAGAACTTGTCAATATTTATCGCGTAAAAAAGGTTGGGAGGCTATTAATTTTGGTGAATATGGCAAGCCCCCTAATGTCCACGCTTGGCTAGCACAGTGTTGTTTATATGTGTGTCTTATGGTCATAGTTAAGGTTTCTATAACCCTGTTCATGCAGCTAGATTTCTGGGAGAACGTGAAGAATTTCATATTGAGTCCGCTGGATAATCCTAAAGTTGAACTGGCTTTTGTGATGCTGATTATTCCATTTTTTATTAATGTAAGTGCTCATCCCATTTTTGCGAATACATATGAATACATAAGATTAGATACTACCCCTTGAAAAAACTTAAAAATAGTGTTAAAATTGTTTTTTTTTTTAATGAGGAGGTAAATGTTTTGCATTTTAACTTATGCTAGTGAAACATTACACATTAGGTGCTAGGGACTAGGGACTACAAGACATCTGATAACAATTTAAAACTTTATATCAAACTAACCCAATATAAATAAGTGTCCAATATGTACTAAAACAAATTTAATTTGTTTGTAGATGTTGATGTTTTGGGTAACAGACAACTTTTTAATGTACAAAGATCCCAGTAAAAGACGAAGAGACAGCTCAGAGGTCAGCCTGTTAGAAAAAGCTAAAGTGAAATACAGAAGTTTACGGAAGAAAAAATCTGATTCTGAAAGTGACATACTTTTATCTGGTAAGTATTTAGCAGTATTCCTTGTTAATAATTATTCTAGTATCGAGCCGGGAATTATTCTTTGTATTGTAAAAAGCTCTTTCCTTGAACAAAACAATATTTTTCAACCAACAAGATTAAAAAATCAATTATATTTCAGCTGACGACGATCTCCTTGATCCTGAACAAGTGCCTACAAGAGGATCTATCCATACATAAATCTTAATTTATGCTTGCAAAATTGTCATTGCTTAAATCATCGCCAACATGGATATTCTGCTTTAAAGTAAAAATATCGAAACTTGAGATTAAAGGACAAAGATTATAAATCCATGAAAGTGCATTAAACAAATAACAGTGTGGAGGCTTGATGAGTGTACCATCCAAAAGTTTTTCGCATGCATTTATTAAGTTATGTGATTTTCCTATTGTTACCGTCATAATCAAAGTGATACTAGTTTTTAAGGTTTAGGGCATTAGATTTTAGGATTCAAATTTTTTGGTTATTGCCATAATAATGAGGAGTCTTATTTATATAATTTTTATAAGACATAATGCCCGTATTACATCTGTGTATTTATTCGTGTAGTTCAGGGTGACAACATTATTTTGTTTTCCATAATGCTGATTTATGTTGCGTTTGAAGTTTTTCAGTTGTCACCCTGAACTACATGAATACACAGATGTAATACGGGCATTAGACAACAAATATCAACCATCATATCTTATTGCATTTAAGGGCAGGCTTGTTCATCAACAGTTAAAAATTCATAATTTTAATTGTTGATATAAAAGCAGTCTAATTTGTTAACATCACTTTTACTCAGAAAAATTTATTGTATAGTGTTCCTATTTTAGAACATAACTTTTATGTACTTGATTTTTTTTTTGAGAACATAAGTTTTATCGACTAATACAGGTTATCACATCACTAAAAATCATCATACATTTTCATTTTAAAAAGTTAAACAGTACTTGTCTTCTCCTGACATGTTACATAAATATCTATGATGATAATACTCAATTTTTTTTTCAGGGTTGGTACTTTTGCTCTTAGTCAAGGTTCAACTAAAGTTTCGAAATATGCAGATCATACTATGAAAAGTTTAAACTTTTTTGAGAGCAGAATTTCCAATTACTACAAATATTGTTATTGGTTAAAGTTATTTTGTTAAAAAGTGTTATCTACCAAATATTAGACTTAAGATAAATGAGAATACTATTGCGAACGAATACTTAGACTTAAGGCCTAACAATAAATACCTACTCTTTCCCTCTGTGCAGAGTGATAATAATTTAACAATAAATAAGGATATTTTTGGTATAGTTTTGTTTTATTTAAAATATTGTGTAGTCTTACTATCTTCCATTACATCTAATCTATCAGTAACTGTTTACCTATGTGGGCGATTCCGTTTTATAGCACGCTGTTACTTCTAAAATTGTCTATACAATTGGCTTCCGTTAATTTCGAATTTGTTATTGCGCTTTGAAATTCTATTCGCAAAGTCTCTTGAAGGGCAAAACTGAAGTCGGCAAAGACATCAGATACTAGGGTCTTTGAATAAGAAGGAATATTCATATAAAAACACCAATAAATTGTTATTTAATTAGATCTTTATTGAGTAACCCTAAAAATACCATCTTAAACATCAGTATTTTCCCCTTAAAATTAAGAAAAAAGCCCTTAAAGTTAAAGAAAAAAAAATCGTTATTAATAACTAGAAATATAAATATAAATCTTAAATAAAGCATAACAAAAAACTAAAAAATATTTTTCCTAACGTCAAATAAATACTTTTGGTCAAAACAAAAGATAATATGTTTAATATAATAATATATGTATAAATATAATATCTAAAATTATCAAGGTACGCAGATAAAAGGATGCAGAATATTGCAAAAAAAAAGATATAATAAAGGTATGTATACACATACCAATATCAACAAGGTGAATTTGAAAATTAGCAGTAGCATTGAAATTGCATATTTGTGGTTCAAACAAAAAGTCAAATAATCCTCAGTTTTTAACATAAATCGGATAAATTGAAAGTTATGCTAAAAATTAACCTCTACGCATTAAAACATACAGCTATCATCAAATAATTTTCATAGAGCAAGATCCAAAAAATTGGCCATCAGTTGCTGCAGAGTGGTGAAGGTTGAGGCAAGTTTCGACGATTCCTGGAGTCCAAACATATTGCATCGTTGAATGTTTGTTACTGTATGTGCCGCGTTAGACTTGTCTTTGCATTTGTGAGTTTAATTTAGAGCCTAAACCCTTCATAGTACACAAAGATCACATAAAAAAATTAATTTCAATTCAATTGATTTTGAAATCAAAAAATTTCCAGAAAAAAAAACACCTAAATATAAGTTGAGATCCTTGCTTAAAACATAATAATTTATCCTTATGGTTAAATAATCATTAAATAAATCCACGGGATTCAATTTTAATGTTATAGCACGAGAGACTTTATACAGAATGGAGAAGATTAACAGTAGTTAGAAGTGCCAAAAGTCAACAATGGATTCATAGTCGATCTTATTTTGAGGCTAAGAACATTATCAACCTGGAAAAAAAATCAATTAATTTTCATTAGTTCACCATTCACACAACATACAATGGTAATTACTTTTTTGCTGCAATGAAGTGAACAGTAAAGATTAATAATTGAATAACACAGACCTGAAATTAATTGTCTTGGCAGCCAACAATCTGTTGCACTCGGCAGTATCAGGCAACGGCAAATGCATGTAATAACTCTCATTACGTTGTTCTGTAAATTCAAACTCGTAGATTCTTGGCTTGACTTTAATGTCGCCCACTGGTCCCCTCAACACTATGAAATGCAAGCTGAGTGGAGTCGGAGATTTTGATTTGAGTATCAACTAAAGACATAATATTAAGTGCCAAATTTTGTCCGTTTGATGAAATTTCTTACTTGGTACGCCACGTCACGTTCGGAGCTTTGAGTGGGATCTTTTTGGGAATTATTTATTCGGGCTTTGACCACCCACTGGTTGTTGAAAGCTGAAAATCTAGAAGACTCGTAGAAGAGTCTGTGAACAAATTCGTCTGTACGATAAGGTTTCAACTGGATTTCTGTAAAAAAAAAATTGTGATTATCTGCGGACAATAATTTCGTATGATGCCACATTTGAAAACAAACAATTCTCAGTTGCTTGTTCTGAAATGATTACCAAAATCTGCTGTAACCCAATCGAATTACCATTGAAAGTGATTTTTTCGTAACCCAACAAATCAAACACGTTTTCGTATAGTTTCCTTTCTTCTGCCAATTGTTGGTCCATAGCCAGAAGCGAGTCCATAACTTCGGCTCCGGAGCGATGAGGATGAGTGCACTCATTTTCATGCACTTGACGTTCGTGTTCTGGACCTCTCCACGGGCAACCGATGCGACTGAATTTACATCCAGAAATTCTTGAAAAAAAAAAATAGAATATTAGATATTATTTACTTTGTCAGTCAAACCAGTGTATATTGTTCAGACAGGGTATATTTTAAAATTAATGATTGAAGATGAGTCATGGACAAATTTATAAGGCCTGTTCGCACAGCAATCACAAACCAGTCAGAGCGAATTTCATTGGTTGAAAATAGTCAGAAACAGTCAGAGAACTAGTTTCAACCAATGAAATTCACTCTGACTGGTTTGTGATTTCTGTGCGAACAGACCTATAGTATCCATTGTATCCTGATGGAATTCCAGCAGTGTTTCTGCAAAATTGGGCAGCCATCTTGAGCCAACCCTTGTCTGATCTCATGAAAAGTATCTTTGAAGCTTACAACTTTCCTGAGACTTGGTCAACATCTTTTGTGATTCCGCAATATACAAGAAAGGAGACAAAACCGCTCCATGGAACTATTGTCCAATAAGTTTCACATGCAATCTATGCAAGTGTATGGAAAAAATTATAGTGAAACAGTTAACCCCATTTTTACTAGAGCAAAATCCATTACTGAAGCACCAACATGGCTTTCTTCCAGGGCGTTCTACTACAACCAATCTCACACTATACTTGGACGATTGGACAAGGGACTTTGATAATAACAAGCAAGTGGAAGTGATATATCTCGATTTCGAGAAGGCGTTAGATAAGGTGTGCCACAGCTATCTCCTGCATAAATCACTTTGGCATTGCTGGGAGCTTGCTACAACTTGTATCAAGTTTTCCATTGAACCGATACTATCAAGTAAAAATAAATGCAACATTTTCAGACAGAAGAAAAGTCCAGAGAGGGGTGCCCCAGGGATCAGTACTGGGCCCTCTGCTTTTTCTACTATATGTCAGCCATATGACATCAAATATCCAGGGTCCAATACCTGGAAAATGAGGGGCTAAACGAAGAAAAATGTACTATCTTGATCCAGCAGTACATAACTTAATTCAAAAAGCAGTTATCTTAAAGACAATACGGTCAGAGCATTCTTAAGATAGTACCAAACTAGTCAAACTTGGTCCGCCCGTCTGTCTAGTAGTTGACCAGCTTGAAACTGAGGAAAAGAAATAATAATAATTGTCTAAATTCGAAGATGTAAAAAATACGTGCCATTATTCAATTCTGTTACGTTAGAATTGCAAAATTGTCGAAAGTTAGAGTTGCAACCTGAAGATGGTTGTTGAGCAACTGAATGTAGCAATCATGTTTACCAGGAATGAAGGCCTTTCTGTTAGGACAGAACAGAACATAATTTAACAAAGCCAAAAGAATTGGCTAGTAACAGACATAATAAGCAACATTGACCAGATTTTTAACAAAGGGCTGAGGGACATAGATTTGAGGAACGTATTGTGAAGATATAGAGTTTTCAGCAATGTACTGAGCTCAAAATGCCCACAAATTACAATTAAGTTCCTTGAGAACAGTCAAGGTGAAAACCGCATTTTGATATCTTAAACTGTTTTGCCCCTATTAAGCGATTATCGATTTTTAGCAATAATGTAAAAGCATTGCATTACAAGTTTTTTGTTTATGAGAACAATATTTGATTTCCGTAAATCTGTTGAAGGCATTTTTTAAAGCAGAATCCAGAGAAGTAGTCGGTTTTTTTCTAGTCATCATAGGTCTCACTCGCATCGCAACTCTACACTCTGAAGAAAGATCGCTAGAAAACTTTTTTTAGAGGAAATGAAGAGTCGGGAATACTTCAAATTTTGGTAATTACTGGCTTTTGAATCATTAAAAAATTTGTCTGAAGGAAATCAAGAGAAAAACAGGATCAGATTTTGATTATTACCGGCTCTTGAATCACAAGAAAACTCTTCGCAGAGGAAATTGTTTTTAAGATGGCGTTTTGTGCCATTTTCGATAGGTAGAATAGAGGAATTTGAAAAAAGGCTCCTAATCTTTAAAAAGAGCAAAAATCTATACTATAAATTGCTGATGGAAGTTGGTTTTGTGATAGGTATAGGATGAATCAAAATTTGAATTATTCACGGCTCTTGATTTCCTTTGCAAGAGTTTCCTAGTGATTTTGTGATATGTGTAGACTCATCTTCTGTAAGAATTGCTCTGGAGTCTGGACTATCATCGATCGAAATTAGAGTACTAACTGCTCAGGCAAGACCTGTAACGTTCTATTGCCGTGAGGCCCGTGAGTGTGTGGAGGTAACACATACATCAGTCAGAAACTTTCCAACTATGAAGGAACAAATTAGCAGCATTGAAAAAAATTTGAATGTCCTTGAAATGTCCCACAAAGATCTTGCGGAAACAGTTCCTGATAAAGTGACCTGTGGACGTGTGGATGATTGACTAACTAATGGTGACTTTGCTGATTTCACAACTAACCTAAAGAATATGCTCAATTCTCAAACTGAACTCATTGGAACATAACTAAATAATGTAGTTGACAATATCAGGGAGGCCAATAAGGAGTAGGTCAGATTTCTTACTCAGAAGAATGAAGGTGCCAACCTTGAGCTGCATAAAATTGGAACCACCAAAGTAAGTGAAGCAGCCAACAGGGCAGTCATGGCTAACAACACCAATAATACCCAGAAAACTTTCAAGTTGTTGGGTGCTGAACAACGCATCAAAGGCTCTAATAAGTGTAGCTTTGGACTGGCAGCAACGGCTAAGCAAACCTGGTTCTTTGTGGGAAATCTTAGTGATGACACCACAGTAGATCAATTAAAGGCTCACTTGGAATCCAATAGCATACCAACTCAGGTTACTGAGAAACTTCAATCTAGAAATGAACACATTAGTTCTTTTCACGTGGCTCCGGTTTAACTAACCAGGTTAGAAAACGGTTAGAGAAATGACATACCGTTTTCTAACCCGGTTACAAAGTGACGTGATGGAAACCTACCACTCGAATTTGAGCGGTATGTTGCGGTTTGTTAAACCGGAGCCACGTGAAAAGGGTTATTGCTTCCTTCAAGCTCTCTGCAGAGCCTATATATGATTCATCAATATTGAGACCAGAGTTGTGGCCCGAAGATACAACAGTAAAACCCTTTGTTTTCATCGAGAGGCCGAGGTCCTCTAAGGTAGATCATTTAACAACAGATTTTTTTTACAAAGAAGAAATCATACCCGAAACAATCCTCGTAACCATGTCCAGAATCAACGATAAGTGTCTATTACCAGAATTTGCGAGGCTTAAGAAACAAATTGAACGCATTAGTGTGTTCCACGGCAATTAAGAACTATGATATTCTTCTTTTCACTGAAACATTCTTGGACGAGTACATTGGTGATGATGAACTTGGTTTAATAAACTATATAGTTTTTAGGTGTGATCGATCTAAATCTACCAGTTCATGTACTAGAGGCGGGGGCTCATTGATAGCAGAGAAAAGGAACTTCCCCGTAATGCAAATAATAGCTATCGCATGTAACCAACGATGAGCATGTATTAGTTTCGATAAGTCTAGGATCTTAAAAAACTACTTATTGGGAATGCATACATTCCACCTGCCTCTCCATTGGAAGTATATGAAGCGTTTGCCGAAGCTGTGTCACTGATTCTACAGGATTCGGTGTCGGTTAATAATTGTGATATTCTGGTGTGTGGTGACTTTAACCTCCCTGACACATTCTGGTCAAATGATGAATATGGTGCCGCTCCGCTTAGAGTTCTCACTAAACAAGCGACATGTTTCTCTCATTGTATGGCGTTTTTATATTTAAACCAGATCAATACAATCCCAAATGCAAGAAATAGTTAGGTATTTAGACTTAATTTTTTGTAATGTTACAGCTAATGTGTCTGCTGTGCAGCACCCTATTGTGAAATGTGATTCTCACCACCCAGCTATTTGTATTTTGAATTGGTAACTCACAACTTATCTCAGCATTTCGAATATGATTATGAGTACTACAACTTCAACCTTGCTAATTTCGATGATATTAATATGAATTTGGTCTCTAGTAATTGAAATTTTTTATTGTCAACTAGGGATATTAATGCGGCTGTCATATAATTTCACCAAATTGTCAATGCTGCAATTGAAATATCCGTACCAAGAAGAAGGGCAAAAGATTTAAAATTTCCAAAATGGTTCAGTAATGAATTGAAATCAAATATAATTGAAAAGAAAATTGCCCATAAAAAATAAGTCTATCTCCAAGTGATTATGAAACTTTCTCCAAAATAACTTCAAATTGTAAATTATCGGTACAGGCAGATCATAATAAATATGTTAATGAGTTAGAAAGTAACCTAACATCTAGTAAGGATTTCTGGAGATATTTTAATTCAAAGAGAGATAGTTGTAAGTTCCCAAAGTGTTTGTTCTATGGGAAGGTAAGGTCTGATAATCCTACAGAAATTGTGGATTTATTTGTTCAGCATTTTGCATCTGCATATGTTAACCACCATGAGAGGAATATTAATTTTAGTTATTCTAAAACTGTACAATTGTCCTCTTGTGATTTTACAATTATGGAGGTCTTCGATAAATTGGACAAATTGAATAATAATCTGGGCTGTGGATCTGATCCTTGACAGTTCACTTTTTGAAAAATACAAGAGAAATGTCTTCTCTGAGAAAATTTGTTCTCTATTTAATTTGTCCATGTCAGTTGGCATTTTTCCTACCTGTTGGAAAATGTGCTAAGTAACTCTATATTTAAGTCAGGGGGTCCAGCGGATGTATCAAATTGTAGGCCTATCAGTAAAAAATATCTCTTTTGCCAAAGATTTTTGACTCTTTGGTAACATCTAGAATGACTCCTCACTTCAGGGATGCTCTTTCGGTTGTCCAACATGGATTTGTCAAGGGAAGATCCACAGTAACAAATCTAGTGAAATATCAACATGACTTCGCTGAAGCTGTGGAATGCCGTAGTCAGGTTGACTCTGCCAGCACTGACTTTAGTGAAGCATACGACAGGATCAATATATCCACTCTTATAAGAAAACTTAAGAGGTTGGGGGGTAGCTGGAAGTTTATTGTTGTGGGTGGAGAGTTTTTTAATTGATATTTTACAAGTGGTAAAAATAAAGAATTTCATTTCGTCCCCAATTTATGTTTTGTCCGGAGTTCCACAGGGGGAACATCTGTTATCTTTGTTGTTCAATTGCTACATAAATGATATTTCGGACTTCATTCTTTACAGTCATGTATTAGTATACGAGGATGACTCGAAATTGTATAGACAAGTTTCAACATTGAAGGACTCTAAACAGCTACAAGCAGATCTTAATTACGTTGCCCTCTGGTATAGAATTAATGAGAGACTTAAATGCAAGCTTATATCCTTTTTCAAATGTCATGTAGTCATAATATACCCATATGTATTGTTTGGTTGTTTGGACAGGAATTCGAGAGAGTGAAATCATTGAAAGAGTAACTTGCAATCAGGATCTTACGTTCAATCTTCATATCGAAAATATTTGCAACAGAGCCTGAAAACTCCTTGGCTTTGTAGTCCGCACTTTGAAAGACTTTAATGATATTTTTGCATTGAAAACTGTTTATTGTTCAGTAGTAAGATCCATAATTGAATATGGTTGGTCCTGTCTGATCCCCAAGCTACCATGTTTGTATAAGTGTGCTGGAGAGGGTTCAAAGACGATTTCCTAGACATATAGGCTATAGGCTAGGAATTTTGTATGGAAATATTAACTCTGATGAATCAAATGTATTACTTCACATTCCTACGTTAGAAATTTGATTGTCCTCCTCTGCTCAACAGTATAAATATTCATGTACCTGCTAGATTTACAAGAGGGAATGAATTGTTCAAGATAATGATAATATATCACAGGACCAATTATGGCTATTTTAGTCCTGTATCGAGAATCTGCAGAGATGCCAATCAATTTCCAAGAGAGGTAGATCTCTTTAATCTATCTTTCAAGGGGTAAAAGAGCATGTTAGGACAGGATTTTTAGTTTTTAGCCATTAGATATTAGATTTTATCAACTAATTATTAATTTTAATTAAATTTTTCTAACAGTAGGTAGTAATTGTTATTCAGAATTTATAGTGTTATACTGGCTGGTCCGTTAATAAAGAATTATTATTATTATTATTATTAAATTTCCAATATTCCAGTTATAGAAATATTACCTTTCTTCGCACTCAGATTCCTCGTGTCTCTCCAACGTGTTTCTCGGATACTGTTTGCAACAGTACTGACAATCGCTGGGCAGTTCGCTGACAGCATTTTCGACGGCCAAGTTACGCGTGGCAGAAGTTTTGGAGATTTCGACGCGACAACTGGGACAAGTTGCCATCTCGTCGCGCAACCTCGCGTCTGCCAGCACGTGCGTGAAACATCCGGCACACATCAGATGGCCGTTTGTACACTAGATAGTCGGGCGAGGGAAAAAGAAAAACATCCAATTAGTATATTGAAACAATCTTTTGAGAGAGTAATTGTTTGCGAAGGGTCTTAATAAAATAAGCTTAAAAACTAATAGAACGCTGTTTAGAATAATTTTCCAAAGTTTCCTCCATTGGAAACAGATGGAAGATTATTTAGTTTACCTGGAAAAGAAAAAAAGAATTATAAATTCAGTATCAATAATATGCGATATTAATGCAATATATTCATAAATTATTCACTAATGACTGAAAATGCATGATAGAAAAAAAAAAGTAAATATTTGATGAATATAGCTAAATTCAATCAATGAGGACATTTGACTAGTCAGCTTTATTTGAAAATTTTTATGACTCATATCAATTCTTTATCATCATTCATTTGTTTTGTTTTTGTTTAAAAAATGATAACAATGATAAGCGATTATTGTATTTTGACCCCCATAATAAATAAACAAATAAAATTGCTGCTGTTTACCTAAACCCAAACCTTGGCACTAGATTTTTTGAGGTTTAGCCAAAATGATGTAATAAAATATTAATACAACATTCATTTTAGTTGCACTTACCACTACTCTTCCAAATGCTGGAAATAAGTCAAAATCACTAATATTTATTTGGCAATTTTCTCTACCTACTTTATTCATGCACACGCATATTTAATCCCCAAGTAAAGTGCCTCATTGTTCAAAACCTACCTTATTTTTTTACTCTAGTTTTTTTTTTTAAAGGACAAAGGATTAAGGGTAAAGAACTAAATCTATAGTGAATAATAACCACTACTAAATTGAATTCAAAAAACGTTTATTAAAAAAAAAATCGAGCAGACATTTTCAGAATGGTTCATAATCCTTGATAATCTTACTAACTAATTGCAACATTCTATTCTTAAGTTAATTATAAAATAAAGGTCAATGTGCAGCAAAACGATAAAATGATTACAACAAATTTATTTTTGCTTCGAAGTAAACAAATAATGCGCAGTGAAGTATGTATTTTATATAGACACCCTAACACATAAAACAATTTATAATGCATGGATGAACTGTGATGAAAATAATAAAATATAATTCGTTTTAATGATGATGATGATGATGAACAATGATGTGGGTGGAACAAAGGATTTTTTTTTTTTTTGGACCTTTATACAATGATATAATTTTATTTTGCAGTGTCTATGCAACACTGTTTTAATAGCTCAGAAATATTAGTCCTGAGCCTATGATCTGTATTCCGATTATCAATAGCAAAATTGTAGTTGGTTGAAATTGAATGGAAATTGTTTTTCATGGATTCTGAATTACGATTTTTTTGTTCTCAGGATCAGAAGATAATTTAGAACTTGATTTAGAATCAGGTCATTCGTTATTGACATTTTTACCAGAGTTGAATCTGATTTGCATTTTTAGTGGTCCAAATATTAAAAACAACTGAAAATTGATAAGAAATATTTCAATCGCAAATGGACCAGAATTTCCCCAATTTATTTTGTATTATTAGTAATTGTTATTCAAAGATAGTCATTTGGTTTGATTTTAAATGGTTCAGAATTAAATTTCTCAATTATTGCAGATCAGATATCAGATCAGAATCAGATTTTTCCAGAAACCGTTATTTGTTTTAAATCCCTTATAAAAACGCTTTTTTTTTAAAGGCACACCGCACCTTTATTAAAATGAGGTGTATGAAATGCAAATCAACCAATCAGCAATAATTTTGTCTCGGATGCGAAAAAAAATAAAATATTTTCAAACAAATTACTTAATTGATTGCAAACTGTTAACACTGATTTCAAGTAACTAAAATCAATTGTCTCAAAATCAGAATTGCAACCAATAATTGACAATTATTGCATTTGCCTTTCAAAGGAACCCATTATTCGAATAGAAAAAAAAGCAATCAGGATCTAAATTTTGCTTAGACAAAGAAAAAACAAGGTGTGGACACCCTGTATAAATGGGAACTGCGTCGTATTTTTAGCCTGCAAGAAAAAATCAATACAACAAGCCAAAGCCAGCCAGCTCGGCTCCTATTGCTCAGGCGCCTGCTGCATGACAGTGAACAAAGAAAAACTAGGCACCTACATTCGTTTTGGGTTGCCCAGTTTTATATTGCGTAACAATTTATGGATTTCAATGATTTTTCCCGATTTGTTCATTGAAAAATCTGTTCAACTTACCTGATAAACTGCCGCCCTTGGCAAATCCAAACAAACTGCGCAGCAAAGAATACCACCCAGTCGATCTTCCAATTTGTTTTTTTTGTCATCGTTGCTGCTGGCCTTTGTGGTGGATAGTTTTCGTTTTTTCGCATCGGGTTCGGCGAATTCTTCCTTACATTCCAACGGCGCTGGAATGTCCATCGCCAGCGCCTCTTCCTGGCCACTCGATGTGGCTGCCTCTTGCTCTGTAGACATTTTTCTGAGAATTTAAATCAAAACACTAAACAGCTGAGAGGACCAGAAAGGAATTCGTACTGTGGCTGCTGCCCTCGTCAAAACCAGCTGTGACGTGACGTTTCCCCTGCCAGGCCCTACTTTTGCTTTGCTTTGGGAACTCCCACCACTGGGACCGTATTCATCGACAAACGAGGCGTTTAATGAATGGGTTTGGGCCTTTATCTTACGCGGTTGGGAATAGGCGCCCTAAGGAATTTAATCAGCTGTGCTGTGTTTATATTTTTGTACAGGGCGAACCACGAAAACTAATTTCGTCTGACCCTTTGGAAAATTTCCAAATTGATGTATATAGGAACTTCTCTAGTAGACAACGCCTTTAATTTAAAATTAATGATGGGCGTTGTTCTTTTGATTTGAATCACTTCGAATTAATGCATTTTCTGTCTGAACGACTGAAAAAGTTAAGCGATTTGGGTGGGAATGGTGGAACAGGGGACAGGATTGTTTGGGTATACCTATTTATTGCTGTTAAATAAAGTTTTTCAATGTACTTACCTATGTATAGTCCGTTGCATGGTTCTTGAGCTACGGCTACTGAATAGACAGAGGGGACAATGGGCTATTGCTGCATTGTCATATCAATAATATTCATTAATACCTACATCAAAATTGCAATAAAATTTCCTTCATTTTCATGTAATAATAAATATTATTGATATGACAACGCAGCAATAGCCCATTGTCCCCTCTGTCTATTCAGTAGTCCTAAGGTCCTAGCTCAAGAACCATGCAACGGACTATATATAATTTTAACTCTCATTCAATGCATCTATAATACAGGGTATCCTTTAGATAAACCAAAGGATAAACTAACACATTTTGAAGGTAAATTTTTCGAAAACGAGAAAAGATAACGAGATATGCAGTTTGTTATGGGAGAATATAAGGATTTTTAAAGTTCTTTTTTCACTTAATTCCCGAATCCTAAAATTTACTGAAATTTGGTTTTACAGACATGCGATATTATATGAAATAGAACTACTGCCTTAATTTTAATGAAACACCCAGTGTCGGACTGGCCCACCGGGCAACCGGGCAAAATCCCGGTGGGCCAGGTGACGTCTTCGACTAGGGTTTCCATACGTCCGGATTTACCCGGACATGTTTGGGTTTTTAGGGTGTCCGGGGAAGTCCGGCCGGAATTCGGAACAATGTCCGGAAAATTCGGAGATCGTGAAAACATTCATACTCACTCAGTTTACGCACTATTCAAAAGACGTAAAATTTTACTTAACGCATAAGTACGTAAAGTATTCGCTTTAAGCCTAGTACTCATAACTGCGAAATTCGCATTTTTTTGTCATTGCTTCGACAATTTGACGTTTGATACACGCATAATACGAAGTAATGTCAATGACAGATGTCGATACTGTCATTTTTTTCTAGTAAATTACTTCACTTTACGCTATAGTGCGTAAAGTATTTGTCTGAATTTATTTTTTTACACATATTTTATAGGTAGTAGAATTTTTTTTGAATATGCAATACTTGTAAAGTGAACCTTTTTTCACGAATGTGAATTTTGTCGCACTCGCCTTTTATTTTACACACTTGTTGCATAAATAGCTATTTTAGCAAAGTCCGGATTTTGTCCGGATTTCTTGACTTCTGTGTCCTGAATTCCGAAAAACTTTCATGGAAACCCTATCTTCGACAGGTGGGCCATTCAAATATTTATAAAAATAAATTAAAATATCCCATTCCCCACGCCATTGGTCATCAAATCATACGCTATTTCGCATAATCCACTGTCCTTATGGAAAATTAACTATCTATCATATCAATATCAGCTCCCTTCTGTTCTGAAAAAGTTCAAGCCGAAGTGGCGTAGAAATCGCCCGTCGCATATCAGTGAATTTGAATTCAACTGACGTAATGTCCGTCGTTTTTATTCTGACACTTCCCGTATGAGGAGAGAGGGGGTGAAACTTATGGCCAAAACAGGTGTGATGTCAGGTGACCATTGGCGTTCTAATGTATAGGGAGCCACCAGCTCACATTCCTTTGGAGTAGGTATCAGATTTAAAATCGACGGACTTTACCCGTTGTTAATTTTTAGGAATACAGAGACAGGGTAGTGAATTTGTGAAAAAAGCCACATTCTCACATTAGTTTTAGTTTTGATTTGTTTATTTTTATATACCGGGTGTCCCACCGAAAACTGTCAATGGCCTCTATATCTTGAAAACGTTAATCGATAAAAAAAAAGAAAAATCGGTTTGGAGGGTTGGAAGGGTGAACCAAAACAGGGTACTTTGCAGCTCTTCCCGAACCACCCCTCCGGCGGTAGCCACCCTAATTTTAAAATTTTAAATGGCCCTACTATAGATCCTGTGGGACATCCTGTATTTAGATACAGAAAGAATAATATGACTCGCAAAAATGCTTCAATAACTCTTCGTTTTTCGCAAGTTAATTACCCTGTTTTTCCGAAAAACAGCATAATCAGCAAGGCTAGCTGAATGACTGAAATAGTTTTTCTGTTTGTTGATTAGGATATCTTCACATAAACTCTTCTAAGACAATAATATATGAAACCAACTAAGAAGAAGCCACCGCGTGATCTTTTGTCTCACTTCAAATGGGAGGGCCCTAGAGAAAAGGGAATTTGCCTTCTTCGTCAGTGATGACGTCAGGTCTTAGTTGGTTATAACTTTATCATTTAAAAATCTCGACCTCCGTCTCCCTCGCTATTACTATTTTTTTAATTTTTATACACCCTAGATGTCCGAGAACGGAAAGGTAAAAAAGAAGTTATACAGGGTGTCCTACCAAGAAACAAATCGATCTATACATGTATGTTAGGGTTGCCACCTTTTGATTTCCGAAAACCCGTACATAATCGAAGCTAACTTTTTTTTGGAGCATAATTTACACTCATATCTGTAGAATGAATTTTTAGAAAAAAATTAAAAAAGGTATCTTCTCAATTTCAAACGCCACCCCTCGTAGTTACGGTCTATTTTGAAATTAAAAAAAAAAAACCAGAGACACTTGTAAGTGAACAGAGAGAACGACACAATACATACATAATTATTTATTTTATTAGGCAGAAAAGCACGATATTTAATGCCGCGACTAGTTTTTCATAGCCGAAAGTGAAGCGAGGAAACCAACCAAGGCATTAAATCTGATCTTTTGCCGTGTGAAACATATAGGTAGTAAGTACATTACATTTTTTCTCCGAATTTGTTACACTTTCACGCATAATCTACTTTTTTATGTTTATCAATTGCGCTGATAACGTTTGTTGAATGGGAAGCAACGAACATTTCTGCCTAGGCAGAAAAAGTCCATTTTTCTGTCGCTAACTGGAAACCGGAGACGTTTGTGATACACCCGTTATTCAAGAAGTAGGAACGTTCAGAAATTAGTTAGGTATATCCTAAGGCGTTCGGCAATCGCCTTTATAAATTTTATATTAAGTATTAATTATTATTAATTATATAGTTATCCAGATATTCCCGGACATTTTCATCATGCGTCCGGACACCGGACAAACCTTTGAAAACCCGGACAGTCCGGGTGAAAACCGGACAGGTGGCAACCCTAATGTATGTACAGGGTGTCCCACGGTGGATGGCGTATTAGACGTTTATGGAGAACTAAAAAGCGGATCATTTTGAAAATTTGGCAACCGGGATAAACGACCATAATCTACACTTTAAAAATATTTTCGTTTATGCGGTGTTGCCGCTTCTACTCTAAACTAGTGGCAACATCGCTATTTTAAATGGAACACCCTGTATGTGATTGCATATTTGGATTCTACGTTAAATTCTGAGCAGATATTCAGGCCTATGATCTATCCAGTCCTGTTAGTTTAACGGCTGTGTTATGGCTCATCATCTATTGCTGTCTCTATTTTTTCGTATAGAATAAACAGTGATAGAGAACTTAACGTTGCTGTTAAAATAACGGAAAATGATACATCATAGGCCTGATTATGTGATATAACCTATACCTAAGTTCAACTGTTTTGAAAATATTGACAGTTCAAAATTGATTTTTGCAATTTTGACAGGCTGTAAAACCTAAACGGGTAATTTTAGAGGAAAACCGATTTTACATTCCTATCTTAGATTTTCATAAACTATCATTTGACACCAACTTTGAACTTAACTGGAGATTAAATTTAACTGGAATTTTCAATTATGGATTTAATTCAAAGTTGGTGTCAAATGATAGTCTATAAAAATCTAAGATAGGAATGTAAAATCGATTTTCCTCTAAAATTAACCGTTCAGGTTTTACAGCCTGTCAAGTTGCAAAAAGTCAATTTTCAACTGTCAATATTTCCATAACAGTTGAACTTATAGGTATAGGGTATATCACATGAAATCTGCTCAGAATTTTATGTAGAATCCAAATATGCAATCACATACAGGGTGTTCCATTTAAAATAGCGACGTTGCCACTAGTTTAGAGTAGAAGCGGTAACACCGCATGATCAAAAATATTTTTAAAGTGTAGATCATGGTCGTTTATCCTAGTTGCCAAATTTTCAAAATGATCCGCTTTTTAGTTCTCCAGGGCAACGTTTGTGTCCCGAGGGCCTCCGGCCCGAGGGACACCAATTGCCCGTGGGTATTAACACCTGATAATTCCCGTGGTACATAGATAATTTTATATCCTACTGAATTTACTATATCCTGTCTATTTTTATAAAGGAATAAACCATAAATCAAAGTTTTTATTTTTTTTCAATGTTTTACCTATTCAAGGTAAAAGCGGGAGTTATGGAAATCCTTAACTCCCTTGGGAGTTAAGACCCTGTTTATGATTATCGTAACCAAGATATTAAATGGTTATAATAGTTCAGTAGGATATAATATCTTTTATATCCTACTGAACTATTAAAACCATATAATACCTTGGTTACGATAATCATAAACAGGGTCTTAACTCCCAAGGGAGTTACGGATTTTCATAACTCCCAAGGGAGTTAAGGAAGGGAGTTAAGGATATCATAACTCCCAAGGGAGTTAAGGATTTCCATAACACCCGCTTTTACCTTGAATAGGTAACACTTTGACAAAAAATAGAAAATTTGATTTATGGCTTATTCCTTTATAAAAATAGACAGAATACAGTAAATTCAGTAGGATATAAAATTATCTATGTACCACGGGAATTATCAGGAGTTAATACCCACGGGCAATTGGTGTCCCTCGGGCCGGAGGCCCTCGGGATACAAACGTTGCCCTGGGGTATTAACACCTGCATAATTCCCTTGATACATAAATAACTATTCCCTACAATGGATTTTTAAATAACGGGTGTCCCGTGTCCCACTTTTTATGCTCACGACTGTACCCATTTTTTTTATGCCTATAATATAAGTAGGTACCAGATTCAACAAATGATTATCAAAATTGTTTTTATTGAATGGGGTTTGGGTTGGGTGGGCCACTTCACCATTTGCCCGGTGGGCCAAATGACCCCCAGTCCGACACTGGAAACACCATGTATATTGTATATTTTGTCATCAGCCTGACAAAAATGTATATAATTTTTTTTCAATTATCTTGAAATTGCAAAGTTAAAATTTGCAGTAATCGTGCTACCACTACAAAAATGGATAATATATAGGGTGTCTCATTTGAAATAGGCAAGTTGAGATCTGCTTCCTTTATAACCGGAAGTGTGCCACCATCTTGAAAATATTTTCGCCATCTTGCCTCAAAATTTTTCTGTAAACAGTTTTTCATATTATACAGAGGGTGTCGCACCGGGAACCAAATCGATCTATTATGGAAAACTGTATGCAGAAAATTTTTGAAAATTTGTCAGTATACAGTCGCGAAAATCTGGAGGAAGCGCCAGGGTGTACAGATTTGGCCAGCTGATTCTAGATTTTACAGGGCTATTCGGGAAAAAGGGCTATCGTGTTTATTCTGGATTTTACAAGAATATATTACGGATATATAAAGGCCGGTATTAGTTAGTGGTTTAGTTTAAGATTGGCTGTGATACGTTTCAGATATTGATTATAAAGAGTTGTAGAGTTTAGTAGCTTGAGTTAATAATGAAGTAATTAGTGTCAGAGTGTGTAGTAACGTGAAATAAATCATTGTTGTGTTAACTGAACTTTGATTTTGGAATAAATGAACCTAAGATTTCTGTCACGCACCCCAGAGCCATGAAATTGGTATCAGAAGTGGGATACCTATATTGGATATACATAATTCGAGGACTGCAAAGTGAAATTCGATTGCAGAATAGTGCGCGGACACTAGTGTGGACACAAAAGCTTTGTTTTGATTCGAAAAAAAGGACGATTCCAGAATGGTTCAAAACAATCGCATAGTTCATCAATCAACGAAATGACAACGGCTCAGCGCTCAGGTATCCAAAATTTCAATAATAAACTGTGCGATTGTGTTGAACCGTTCTATTAGAATTGTCTTTTTTTCGAACCAAAACAAAGCTTAAGTGAACACTTGGACAGTTAAGTCAGTGTAAGCAGTGACAATCACCAAAAGAGGCTTAACCGATTGTGTAAATTACCCCAGAAGTGACCGCATACCCGATTTTGACTGTGCTAGTAAATTTTCAAGTGAGTTCTAGAAAATTCTATTTGTAAACCAAGGGAGATATCGAATTTCTGACTTCGCCGACGTATTTGATACATCAATCGTCATTCGAAAAAGAATTTGGAGGAATTTCAGGAAAATTCTAGAACATTCTATTTGGAAACCAAGCATAGGCGCCGGAATTTCAAAATTACCATGGTGGCTCGGGCTCCAAAAATTAGCACAAGTAGAATTAATTAGACAGACATACGAAGGCGTAGAAGGGACATTTATTAAATTTTTATTTGCTGGTATAGATGCACAATTAATTCCGTGTTAATTAACTCGGAATTAATCCCCTCCTATTTAATTCCGTGTTAATTAACTCGGAATTAATCCCCTCCTATTTAATTCCGTGTTAACTAACTCGGAATTAATGTCCTCTTATTTAATTCCGTGTTAACTAAGACGGAATTAGTTAACACGGAATTAAATAGGAGGGGATTAATTCCGAGTTAATTAACACGGAATTAAATAGGAGGGGATTAATTCCGAGTTAGTTAACACGGAAATAATTGTGCATCTATACCAGCAAATAAAAATTTAATAAATGTCCCTTCTAGGCCTTCGTACAGACAGGACTAAGCTACTATGGTTTATTTTTTTCCAAGATAGATTTTGGCATTGTCCACTTTGAAACATAAACAATGCCGATGCCGCTTATTGGTCGCTATTGTAAAACTGATGTCAACCTGCAGAATCACCTCATTTTGCGACCAGTCAGGGTCAAGCGTTATTGTTTATGTTTCAAAATTTTCAATGTCAAAATCTATCTTGGGAAAAAATAAAGTGTAGACACATTGACTTAAATGGGACCAGTTGACAGATACCCATTTCACTGCAGGATCGCCACGCTGGATCATTGATGGTCCTTGCAGGTCCTTACATATTATTGAAATTCGTGCATCTTCGGCAGCTATACTTGGTCGGCTTTGGCAACACCATTGAAGTAGCCAGGATTTTGCCTTGGGGGAGGGGAAATTTTCAGAAAGTGATCCTTGCACCTCCGTCGCAAGTGCAGCAGGAAGAAAAGCGTAGCAGAAAAGAAAGCGCCGCAGGCTCGAAATGTTTAGGTCTTTCTACGCTATTTTTGGGACTTCTTATGGTGGGGGCAAGCGGGGATGCGGCCATTTTTACAAGGATTTGAATTAATTTTTTTGTTTATTTCAATATTGATTTTAATTCGAATTATAAATACCACTTTTTCCCCCTCCCTGGCTACGCCAGTGGGCAGCAACGGTTCGATTCGCCTTAACCGGTTAAAAGCTAATTCGTCTTATCACTCCCTATGTGTCTAAGGTTTGTCCGGTCTGTATATAAATTGTCCATGATAAAATAGGTAAGAAAAGCCAGTGTATTGGCACATCATGATATATTCATGTGATGTAAAACACTAAAACATACCTATCATGATTAATCGTGGAAACAAACTAAAAGGAAATAATAATCCAACGACTTATTGGAAATACAGGTTTAAATACTACACAATAAAATATTTAAACTGAGTAGTAAAGGTTGGCAACTATGAAAAGTGCGTTTCGGTCTGAAGTGAAGGGGGAGGAAAAAACGATATGGAAATACACAGTTGAAATGGAATAGAGCGAGATAGAAATATTAGTTCGCATATTTGCCGCCGGCAAATTCTCGCTGGTTGCGCTATAGGTATAGCAAAAAAAACAAGACAAAAACATAAAACACACAAGTTTAATATACAAATAAATAGCAGGAATTCAATATTTTTGTGAAGTATAGGGTGATCTATTATAAATGTCACCCCCTGCTAACTTTTTCATTTGACGTTTTTGACAGAAGTGTCAAATACAAAAGTTATAAGAAATTGTCAAAAGTTTTCAAGTAAGTCAGTTTTAGGCATACAGGGTGCGTCAAAAAGGTACAGCAGTGTGAAGTTATATTTTTTTAAATGGAACACGCTGTATATTGTGCGCTTATTTGTTAGTCCCGTTTAACCTGATTTCAATGATATACGGTTTGATATGTTTATCTCCAATAGTAATAGGGAAAAACGCGAAAATTCCTTCCTAGGTCTCTCATGTCATCTTTTTAAAAATACTAATAATAACTTAGACATCTAGATTTATTATAATATTTCACCTTGTATATTAATGAATAAAATTTGAACAATAAACTGTTTATAAAAAAAATTCTCTAAAGCCTAAATGGTATAATTTTTCTTTTTTCAATGCGAAACCTTGAAAGAGGTTTTCATGTTTTTCCCTATAGCTACATGAAGATTGCGTTATGTACCTAATGAGCCCTATTACCGCACTAGTGTGGTAATGAATCATAACGTTTATTATTTTTAATATAACTACACAACAGTTATTTATAATAGATAAACGACAATAGTCACTTATTGTGTAGATCGTAGATAAAATGTTCCAACCTCTTTGTTTTGTTTATGAAGTGCTCAAGTAGGATGGCAATTGTAGTTGGTGGTTTCTAGGATATTAGCGGAAACTATACAGAAAACGTGTAGGTTTGACCATTATAGAAGCTCATGCAGTTGCTCTGGGAATGGCGGGAATTTTGTTCTCCTACTGTAAAACTTTCAGATGAGAATCAACATAGAATTTACTGCAGCACCGACAGATGTGGATAATTTGCAAATAGTGCTGTACAGCTGTACTACAACAAATATCAAAATAAAATAAACTTTCTTTAATAAAATAAAAATATAGTATAATAAACGTGCTATTCATAAACAGGCAAAAATAAAGTCATTCGTTTCTGTTTCTTCAGAGAATTTTCTCTACGAAATTCCATCAAGACCCCTGAATCCAGTTGTTTACATCTATTCAAAGAATTCCATCGTTTTTTATATAAGCAAAACATGTTCACGCTTGGGACAAGTTTTCAGGAATTCTATTGTATTGGAGTAAAGAATTTTATTTAAAGAAATATCGCGTAATTAAATAAGTATAAGGCCATAAGTGATCAGTAAATTTTTACAAAGTCAGTCCAATAAAGGTGTAAAGTGAATTTTTGTGGATCTACTAAAATTTTCAATAACGTTCAGGCAACGAAGGGCTATTGGACTAATTTCCTCCTATGCCAACGCCTGGAGTGCCAGTTCAGGAATCAAATAAATTTTTTCATATCTCCAAAGGTAGACTCAAAGAAAGGTTGAGTGTGAGCAAATCATGAGAAAGTGGTCCCTGCAGTCAACCTTCTTTGGCAGCAAAGTTTGTTTCTTTGATTTTACCTCTCCTAAGTTCATTTACAACTTTCCAGATTTCCTTTGTAGCATTACTAGACTCTATTCTATTATCGTTCAGGAGGATTAGTCTTAAAATTATAAGTGAACAAATTATTATTTACTTTCAGTTGCTATATGGAACAATAATCAGATTATCAATTCTTTTATTATTAATCAAAAATTGTTTACTAGTATTTTCACAAATCACAACAACCTTATTTAGTATGAAAAATGGAATATAGCATCCTAAGATCTATCACATCCCAATGATGTTTAAGGCTTCTAGAATATTCGAATTTCACTGTCGGTAAGTCAGTTCAGGGGTATTAAATTTAAAAGGCTATGGATTTTAAGAAATTACGGTTTGCTCAAATTTGTGACAATCTGCATGATGATTCTGGACCTTCCAAACCATGTGTACCTTAGAGGTGGTCAGTTCCAGGAAAAAAATAGTGAAGAAGATCTTCTGACAAACTAGAAAATCCGTAGCCCGAAAGAGATGTTCTTCTTTCAGAGGCAACTGTTGTGCCCATTTGTCATCTGATTATTCCGATAGTTGTTGTAGCTGTAGCGATGCTAAGATTTAGAAAGCTATTTCAGTGATTAAAACTGTAACTTTTCCAGCTCTAGGATTATTGGCCATACATTCAATCTGATTATTTAACTTGTATTGAAATAGGTGGGGTAAATCTCCAAACATGCCCTGTACTAACTAAAGGAGCAGTATTCGTGGAGCCACCATCTGGTGTATAACATTGAATGTCCAACTTGTAAAGCCCCGGAGCGAAAAACACCACATTGCATCGGTGATTGGCAGCATTTTTTGGCTCGAGAGAGGACAAAATCTTCCTTAAAATTAATAATTAATTTAAAACAAGAATTGAACAATAAAAAGAAACACACTTTGAAGCTCCTGAAATAGCTAATCTAGTATCCATTCTATAATTCAATGTGCCATTATTATAGTCTTGATAAAACTGTATTGACAGTGTGAGTTCTTTGAGAGCTGTTTCCAGGCTGTTGGCAATAGACATTTGTAATTCCATACAGTCGCCTGCGTCACAAGACAAGTCCTCTTGGGCATTAAACTTATCTCCATTAATCTTTACTTCTAAAAATACTAATTAGTTTGAATTAAAAAGACTACTAAGTCTTTTTACCCCATTCTAAAGGTGACATCCTAACCATATCCAGCATCCGAGTGTTCAAATTAATTCCTTTAAGTGACGCCACACCCTTTGAATCTGTGGCATTCAACAGCCACTTCAATTTTACCAATTCTGAAATGTGTTCCGAACAAATTCGGTTGATGTCAGTCAAGTGTTTGGATTGGTCAGCTTCTTCATAAAAATCTACATACAAAATTTTTTTTACCCAATCAGTACAAATGTTTGAATCAATTACCAGATAATTTGGAAAGGGGGCACCTATCTACTGGCACTGGTACTCTACAGCTTTCCTGGCCTTCAATAAGCATATGCTTTGAAGCAGTATATTCCAATTCCATTTCTTGCGTTGTTAAATTGGCAATGTCCAATACAAGATAGAATTGGGTGTTCCTTAAATAATAATAATTGTTAGTGTCAAAATAAGTTCCGATTGATTCTTACTTTTCTGCAGGCAAAACGTCCCAATTCGTTATATGCAGAGAAGGCATAAGTTCCACATTGAAAAATACAGTACTGGTCCTGCAATGGCCGGACTGTAGTCCAGCACCACCACTGTATCGAATTTTTAGTTGAGCTTCCACAGCCGCTGTTGAGAGAGGCTGCTGGAACAGGGCTGTCAGGCCTCCTGCCAAACTAGATTGCCCCGAATTTGAAGACCGGAAACTGAAATATCAATAAATCAATAAAAGAAATGTTGTAAAAAAAAAGTTCAACAACCTGGAATTGTGTCTGGAAAATGAAGAATTTCCTGGTAAAGATGTTGACAGGCTGCTAAACATTCCGCTGTTTAAGTCTTGAGGAATGCTGGGTGATACTGCAGAGTTTGGTGCTAAAAAATTAGCTGAAGCAAAAATCCTAAAAACAACCATTCAACGCATTTAAAGCAAAAAGCATTGATTATTACTCACTTAACATCAAACGATGCAGTTTGTTCAGGCTGCAACGGCAAAATCAAACTAACTTGCTCTAAATCAACTTGAAATATTTCATTTTGCAATTGCGGCTCTAAAATACTATTAACAGTAACTTCGAGCATTTCAATTGGAATGTCACTGGTGTTGGTTAGAGTAATAACACACTGAGCACTTTCTCCGTGATACAAACTCAGCCCTGCTGAAGTTACGATGCTATCGTCGTGGAAATTGGAAAATGAGGCGCTTTGGGGCAAGGATGTTGAGACCTGAATAATTTCAAAGGTTTCATAAACAATTAGCTTTCTATTTCGTTGACTTACTTGCAATATTGGAAGACTTGGAATAACATCAACTTTGAATTGAGGTGGGAAATGATTGGTCATGTATTTGAGCCTGCAATTTGACTTTACACCTAGAGCGTGTGTACTGTAACCTTGAATAGGAAAAAATTATGAAACAATAGTAATTATAACAGCAATTCTCAGTTTTTATTTGGGAGAAGATTTATGGTAAAAAAAAAAGTGGAAAATTTATATAAAGATTGGCGTATAAATCCCTCCTGATTGAAAATACAAGGTGATCCAGTTATTTTATTTGAAATTACTCTTCTAATTTTGTCAAAATTGTCCAATTTATTAGAAAATTTGGTTATAGAAACCTACTTCTCTTCTGGACCTTTATGATGTAAAAAAAAGAAAATTGAACTGAGAAAGTCTACAAGAAAAAAATCGACAATCATATTTTGTCAAATAAAAACCCAAACTGTATAAAAGATTTTTTGTTCTTGAACAATTTACCAGTGATTTCTAATTCTCCACTTTCCCGAGCCCATCCAGTCAATGAAAGCGACGTCACCATATCAGGAGGCAAGGTAACTGTTTCGGGAGCTGACTCGAAAACCACTCCAGAAGTTAACAATCTCATATTGGAAACTTTCAACTCGAAAGATAGCGGATTGGACAGTTTCAAAGAAACCTCGCAAGCTTCGTTTTCAACCCACAAAAACTCCATTTTTGGATCACCTTTGTCCTTGTTTCTGTCCAAGCTACCAAAATGTATTGGGGTGAACAAAAAAGGACCCATGTCTTCTTTTTCCTGCTCGATCAGTCTAGGTCGCAAATGTGGCTTCAGGTCTTTTAAAACGAACCCTAGGCATACTGGAATGTCTGTTAAATTAGCAGGAGGCACCACAATACCAGATTCTAGGACTAGAGGTACTGGGGAACCTTCACATTGTACAGATAAGCTTTGAAGCTGAATCGCCAACTCTTTTTGTTCAGTTTGGTTTAAATGCGACCACATCGTTTGTAGTAGGAATGTCATGTGCCGTGTAGCTAAAGCGGAATGATTGGCTCTTTTAGCAGCAACTATTAAATCCTAAATAAAGAATTAAAATAGCTATTTTATTTTTGTTTTTTTAATCGTCTTACCCATTGGTCTTACCTGTAAAATCTGGATTTGCAAAGTAGGCCATCCTTGATCTGCCTCAAGCATTTCAATTGGATCTAGTATTAGCTTATGGCCCGATAAACTCTGGAGCATCAAAGAATAACACTTGTTCCAATTGGGATTTGGATTTTGAGGAGAAACATACCTAGAAAAGCTTTACAATAAGCCCGCTTGAAAAGTAGAAAATTATTACCTTGTTGCTGCAAGTCTCAAGCAAAAAGCAGCCTTCCTATTAAACCCAATTTGTGTATAAAGATGGGCTAAAGTTTCAAATCGTTGAATTTTTTCCTGCTCCGACAGAGCTAAATTAATATAAACAACATTCTGTAAAAAACTAGCGGCTTGCAAAGCATGATTCTGTTCGACAGCTATTCTTGCAGCCTTAAAGCTAGCTTCAGTTTCCACGATTCCTGCATTTTGATATTTACTATAGTGTATGATGGCTTCTCTGTATCGCTTTGATATATCGTCCGGGTTGAGTAAGTTTGCAATAGGTTTTTTAGTTGTCGGTGTACTGGAAGCTGGTTCTTGATTAGCTTTTTTTGGAGAGCCTTCTGGTAAACTGCCAAATCTTTGAAATCCTTCGCTTCTTTGCATGTTTGGATATAAGACTAAAGCTGAAGCTGTGCTAAGGCCTTCATAGGCAGCTCCCAGCCATAACCAATCGTTGACGCTTTTTAAAGTTTCAGCGGCATTAGTGTAATATTGTATGCTTTCAGATACTAAACCAGCTTGCAAACACAAATCGCCTAAATGCTTGGTCATCCTACCAGTACACCTTTTTTTATTTTGACGAGATTCCATATCTAAACCAACAAAATCCTTTTTCTCAAATGGTGCAAAAAGCAAAGAAACTCGTTCTAATTTTTCTCTGGACCTTTCAAGTCTCTTAGACTCCAACACCCAAAACAATGAATTGATAAACTCAACAATTTGATTTTCTAAATCAACACAAGCAGAAGTTTCATCGTAAAATAGGGCTCTAGTTTTAAAATTACTTGGAGTTGTGTACTTTTCAATATTAGATTCTTGTTTAGTTTCACTGCAATCAGAACCGCTAGATTTATCAGTTACTGGCGAATCAACGTCCTTAGTAGGACCGAACAAAATAGATCTCGAATCGTACAGAGTAGCATTATATTTCACTTTCAAACTCTCGTGAACTCTACAAACTTCATTTAATTCAGTTTGCGAATCATATTTCCCTAAAGACACTAAACCAATAAGTCTTCTGTGAGTCTGAAAATCTCCCCAATCGTTATTTTCGACCGGGTGCTCTTTAATATACCGCACGAAAATTGTACGTACTTGACCAGACGAATCTGTTATTTTTACCTGGTTTAACTTGGCAATTCGATCATAGAATTTTGTAAAGGTTTTAGGTCTCAATTGAGACCCTATGTGCTTGACTAATATTAGCAGGGCTGCGTGGTCGTGAGAAATTTGTTCGTAATCTGGGTGAGACATGTTTGGCTCAGTGGTGCTTGTTGATAAAATGTAACTTACAGATGAACGCATTGAAAACTTAGTTTGTATGGCACTGTAATACTTTGAGAGTTGGGATTTTACATCTATTCATTATTTTAATCCGATTTATAATAATTGGAAATTAAATTATTAGGTTCAGGGTTTTTATAAAAATATAAACAAAAACAGCTGTGCACTGACTGATTTGGATCTCAAAAAAATTTATGTCGTGCATCTGCATCTAAGCAATTTAGAAGGGGGCTGGCTTATCGATATTCATAGCTATCGATACGATATTCTTTCAAAACCCCTACTTCTTTTTTTTTTTACTTCACGCACTTTTCAAACCTTTTTGAAGGCTATTTACTATTTTTTCTACTGACGTTTCATAATAGCAACTTTTCGATTGTCATTTCAGTTTTGAAACGACATTCTTTTAGACACTGAGTGCGTGAAAGTTACTTTTAGGCACTCAGTGCGTAAAAGTGACTTTTGAATGCGTAAAAGTGACTTATGAGTGCGTAAAAGTAATTTTTAAGCACTAGTGCCTAAAAGTGTCATTCATTATTCAGAAATAAAAAACACACTAAACACATATTTGAATTTTGTTTTGTATTTATTATGAATATTGAAAATTGAATTACTAAATTGAACGTTTGGGTTACTCAAAACAGAACTTTGTGTTATTACCTACTTTCTAGGATTTTAATTATTGATGTCGAATTTTGAAAAGAAAATCGCATGAAAAGTGTCAGGTGTCAAGTAAAAGCAGGTAACAAAGATTTTGGGTGTAATCGACTTATTCACATGAAATAAAATTGTGTTTTTTTATTATAAAATGCCAGTAGAAAAAATCTTGTATACAATACGTTACGAAACGGTGTCTTTTAGTCACTCGACGTGTTGTCCAACTCGGCTTTGCCTCGTTGGACAATTTTCACGTCGCGTGCCTAAAAGACGCTCATTTCGTAACTTATTGTATAAATAGCTATTTTTTAAAGTCACGTGATATTGCTGGCAAAAAACGTATGTCCATTGATTATGTCGTTGATATCACCTACAAAAAGCTACTAGTGGTTAATTACTATTGAATTTTAAGATATGTTCCCAATAGCATTTTACAAACGCGTTTCTGAAGTAGTATTGACCAATCAGATGGGAATTTTAATACTTGCAATTGTTGTGAGACTCACTTTTGTCGCATCTGCTGTCCATTGTAATACATTCTGAACTTGAATTGGGTACCCGATTTCTATTTGCTTCTTTTCGAGTTGGAAAAAGGTTAATATAGTCAAAATTATTAGCTGTGTTTGTTCGTTGTATCATTTTCCAAAATTTCTTTGACGAACTAATTGATGACAGTGACGGATTCTATTTCAGGTAAGAATATTAGCCGCTTTCCAGCTGTGTACTTCAAGCACGGTGCAGCACAGTGTTCTGTGTTTGAAACGCAAAAATTAGCAGCTCTCGAAGCGCAGTACGGCTGGAACACGAACACGCGCCTGAAGCATTTGCGCGCGCAAACGCTCGATTGCGTGCTCAAAATGGTCAGCTGGAAAGCGGCTATTATGAACAATAATTAGACACCAATTTTTTTGTCAATTTTGCTATCACAGCTGTTTGAGATATATTCAACAAGGATAGAGAAAAATCACGTGACTTTAAAATGGTATTTCTTGGACTATACTATGCTGGGGCACCTAAATTTGACGGTCTGAACATGGAGTACTTCGATATAGGCATTTTTTCGGGAGTAACTTCGAATGACTCCGAACCAATAGCACTGGAGCTTGTGACAAGAACGCTGCTCTGATTGCACTCGGGTAAAAAGTTAGAGGGGAACTTATCGAATGAAATACCACAAGAGGTTTCGGGATTACCGGATAATACTTTTACCTGTCACGAAACGAATCAACACCACGACTCCGAAGGAGGAGTGGTGTTGCTGGTAACGCGTTGAGTGTCAGGTAAAAGTATTAGGTAATCCTGAAACATCGAGTGGTATTCAAAAGGTTATACAACGAACTAAACTTTAATAATTTAAAATTAAAAAAAAAAATTATAATAGAATTTGCTATAAATGCCACTTAGCGCGATAATCCCAAAAGGCTTATCACTTTTAAAGCCTCTCGTGTCATATGGGAATAATGTACAGTGAGTTGTATAATCGATAAAAGTTATATTCCTTTCACACCTAGGAGGAGCTCTGGCGCTCATTCCTTTCGAAAAGTTTTTGTTGCACCACGCATCTCTTCCTCGCAAATCGGGGTCGGCTACACCGGAGTGAGTAGCTCGAGTATTCCAAACTCTTGAAAGGAATACAACTAAAAAATTCCTTCGTTATCGATAGACAATTTTTCGCGAGGATAATCAAGCATAATCTGTTTATGCTGAGTTATGTGATGTGTCAATTGTATCATACTCCCCTAGCTCACTTCTTTATTAAATTCCCCATGTGGCTAAATTCAGCTGGTGTAGGCACCCTGGTGAAATGGTGAAAAAAGCAATGTTGTTAAATTGAACAGGATTTGGCAAGCTGTGCTTTGGCATTGGCATTAGTGAATCGAAATCACCACACCCGTGGCGGTGCAACATTTTGGTGAATTTAGCCACACGCGAATTGTGGGTCAGCGAGTGACGTCACTATCAGCCGATTATTGTGATGACGTCACCTGCAGACCTCGATGGAATGCTCGCGATAGGCTGTGCAGTGAGTTATAACTTTCGTCGATTTTAAATGTAGAAAAAGTGATTTTCGGTCTGTTCTCACAGAGGAAATTGAGAGTTCTTGTTCCTCGAGTATTTCAGAATTTGATGGTGAGGGAGTTGATTGACACATCACATAGCCTAGCACTTTACACTTGATTATCCTCGCGAAAAATTGCCTGTTATAAGCTTCGTTCCCCGTCATTTAGAGTAGTGAGCATGCTCAAAACCGGAATACCCACCGAAATCATTATTAAAGACGATTTTCACTGGTCAAACATATGTCTCTGTTTTTAATTTTGCAACATTATTAGTTGTACCTAAAATCTGTTTTTTTTTTTAAAGATAATTCCCCAAGTCAAAAATTTAGTAACTATGTTGGCAACACAAGCCTTTTCTACATGGAAAATTTGAAAGCATTGACAATTTTACATTGTATTGCCAACCTAATGTCAGTTTGACTTTTAACTTAAAAAAAAAAACGCACTTTATATGCCTTTCAAGAGTTAGAACCCTAGAGCTACTCGCTCCGGTGTTACTCGACCCCGATTTGAAGGGAACAAATACTCTGGCTTCCATGCATTAAATAGTTGAGTTTAGCAGCTTGAAGTGGTGACTCTACCGCTGACCTCGATGGGATGCTTGCGAATCAGGGTTGCATGTCTCAATAGTTGTATTCCTTTCACACCTAGGAGGAGCTCCGGGGCTTCACGCGCTTATTTCTTTCGAAAAGTATTTGTTGCACCACGCATATGTTCCCTGCAAATCGGGGGCGACTAAGCAACGAAGCGAGTAGCTCGAGTGTTTCAAGCTCTTGAAAGGAATACAACTTATGTCTCATGCACACTACTAGGGTGGGTATTATAAAACTATTTTGACAGTTAACTTAAAAGTTAACTTCTGGAATAATGACCTTCCTTACTTCCCATAGTAATGCTGCATTTACATTCACTTCAAAGTCCAATTTGTCTTGAAATTGACGTGCTTGCCATATGGCAACAGCACAGATCCATTTACATTGAAATAAATTTGAAGTTCACGTCGAAGTACACTTTAAATTTGGGCGAGGTGCTTGCCAAGGGCAAGCTGAAATTTGTGAAATGTCAAATTTTCAGATTATTCATCCCGCGTGTGGCTAAATTCAGCTGGTGTAGGCACCGTGGTGGAATGGTAGAACAAGTACTATTGTTAAATTAAACAGAGTTTGACAAGCTGTGGTTTGGCATTGGCATTAGTGAATTTTGATCACCGCATTCGTGGCGGTGCACCATTTTGGTGAATTTAGCAACACGCGGGTCATGACTTGACGTTTTTGTTCTGCAATGGCCGTTTTCGATTCGCAGCTAGGTTCGGTCTTGGTTGGTTCGGATATGACAGAAGTTGGTTGACAGAATCTGTGATGTTAACAGCTTTTGAATTTGGTCTATCAAAAAAGGCGCCATGTTTTAAGGTTATTGCAAACCGAAATTCAAACCAAAATTCGAACCATCTCGCGAAGCTGGTTCGAATTTAGACGGACCAAGCGGTGCTTGTCAGGTCACCGGTTTGCAATCGAAGACGGTTGGTTCTAATTTGGTTGGCTTTGAAGACGGACCAAAGCGAATGCAATCTGTCAAAATAGTTTTATAGTACCTGCCACAGAACCTGCCCTTAGACCCATAAGGCTAGTTTCTCAATAGCGAGTCACCTCCGGGTTGATTTTAACCCCAGGGTAAGTGTGTCCAGTTATACTATGTTCACCCTTGCTTGCTGTTTAATCCTTTCGAGCCCATACTTTACACTCTACACTGCAGCCTTCATAGGCTTATTGTCTCTTATTTGTATGGGCTCTACTCCTTCTCATTCATACTTGGAGATCAGACGATTGGCGACAGCGCGGGTGACTTACCGTCCCGTACTACTGCAGTCACCCATCCAATCTCCATCCCGACACCACGTTGCTTGGCTTGAGTAGGCCGTCTTGCGTCCTTTATCAAGAACCAACGTGCCGGTATGTTTACCCTAGAGTTATGCTAACCTGGGAATGACTCGCTATTGAGACACTGGCCCTATGGGTCGGTTTCTCAATAGCGAGTCACTTCCGGGTTGGTTTTAATTCCAGGGTAAAGGTGTCCAGTTGCAGTGTTTACCCTGGAGTTATGCTCAACCCGGGGGTGACCTGCTATTGAGAAACCGGCACTCTGGCACTCTAGATAAAAAAAACGAAAGCCTAAACTTTAAAATCACCTTTTCAATATTTAAAATCGACGAAAAAATTAGCTGACAAGGGGCCTGTTTCTCAATAGCAAGTCACCCCCGGGTTAAGCATAACTCCAAGGTAAACATAGCAACTGGACACGTGTACCTTAGAGTTAAAACTAACCCGGAGGTGACTCGCTAGGGAAACCGGCCCAAGCACAGCCTGATTCACAAGCATCCCATTATCGATATCTGCGTTTGACGTCACCACTTTAAGCTGCTGATTGGTGACGTCACTCGCAGGCCTTGCTGACTCGAGCGAACAGTCAGAGTGAATTTCATTGGTTGTTGAAACCACTGTTGAAACTAGTTTTGTGACTATTTCTCACTGTTTTTAACCAATGAAATTTGCTCCGACTGGTTTGTGATTTCTGTGCGAATAGACCTTCTATGATTATCCTTGCATTTTATTTGCGTTTGGAAATAATTTGGTTCCTGAATGCTGTAAAGATGGTGGGACACCGTTTAAACCTACTCGGTACAAAATGATGGTGCATTCGGTGTTATACCGGCGGTTACACCTTCATCACGTGATTTAACCTTGCACTACACAAACAAATTCATTGCACGAACACCCCACTATTATAGGTGGGTTCGGCTTGCTCACTCCGTGCACTCCATTCGCACTCCAGCCGTTCGGGTTAAGGTTCGGGTATTGCTTTCTACCGTATTAGGGGTGACTCAATTAGCTCGATTCACTCCACTCACCCATCTTTTTTTTAAAGCATGTAACATATAAGGATATGGATACATTTTTTTTGCACTGATTTGAAAAATTGAAATCGCCATTTATACCATTATGATGTTTGTTTGTTTGTGTTGCATTAACTTGAACTGAACCGCTTTCCAGTATGCACATTGGCGCGCTCTAGAGCACCCCGGGGGCGCCACGCGCTAGATTTGTACCGTTCCAGTGAGATGCCTGTTTTAGAGTCAAATATGTCAAATTTTAAAAATAATTATCTGTTTGTTGGTGCAGTTTGTTTTTCATCTATTAAAAAATGAAGAAAATCAAAACTATATTTAGGAAATGTTCGATCCCGAGATATAACAAGAAACAAATAAATAAATAGCCTCCCACGGGTGTGACAACTGACAGGTTGACGGGTACGTAGTACGTACAGCTCGGGAGCTCAACGCCCCGAGTAGCTCCGGGCGTCACACTCCCATACTGGAAAGCGGCTCTGAGCGCAAGATATTTCAGGTTTATGGCGTCACTAGTTCAACTTATAACTGCTTAGCCGACACTTTACTCTTTTATGGATTTCTTTCTGGATTTATTTTTGATTTGTGGGCGGCAGACTTGGACAATAATCATAGATAAGGGATACAAAACTCTCTCGAACCTATAATATAGATAGGCAACTCAATACAAACATTTTGTTCCTGATTACAGCGCCCTCTCGCGTGTGTAGTCAGCAACTTGAGAGCGCGGGAAGCACTCCTTTTTAAATTTAATTTTTTTTTTCTTTAGGATCCGTTTATCATTTTTTATTGCCACTAGCACTGAACAATTTAATATGTTTCAAGTGGAAATAAAATTATGATAAACAGTCTCTTGATTACATACTGAAGAGTTACATACTAATTAATCCATGTATTAAATACAAAAATAACAATTTTGAATTACTTTATTAACTACAGTATGATATCAACCCAACCCAATCAATAATAGGTACCTACAAGAATAAGATTTTTGATCGTAAACGTTTTGCAGGCATAAAATGAACACCTAAAAAGAAAGAAAGTTACAGTGGTAAAATAACAGAAGGTAAAATCCCGATTTCGGTTTAATGTAGGGATTGAAACATACCTGTTCATCATTTTTGGGAATTCAATGAATTTTTACTCTGTTCCCTCGGCTTTCACACATTGCCACACAACAAGATAAAACCATTATGCTTTGAACGGAGAACATTTTCAATCTCTGCTTAAAATTATTGAATAAAAATGGAATATGTCAAAATTTGTCAAAATATAATGAAAAAGTAAAAGTGAAGCGACGGAAGCGACGCTGCCACATGTCAAAAGCATCGGATATTTGTTTCGAAAAAGAAATGTAATTTCAAGTCGTACTACTAGCAATTATATGTTAACGAGGTACACGACTTTTGTTTCCTATTGTTGGAAGCTTTTTAAAACAAATAAAGAATAATCTGGACTTTTTATGTGTAAATCTGACAACAGCATTGGACGACAGCGCCTCTGCCGTCTGTAGTCGCAAGCTTTTAGTGGAACAAATTGCGCCATAAGAGTTGCACATGCATGGACAATTAATTATAGATTTTTGTTTAATGGATGACGATGTCAAAATTGAATTCGTTTTGTCAAGTGACGAGGATAGTGAGTGGAAAAGATTTTGATGTTGCAGCGAGCCTTTTTTATACAAAGGAAAAACAAAAATGCATAAAAAACTTTCTTGAAGCAAGTGCAAGTACAAGGATGGAGGGAACAGGGAACGCAACGGTTAAATATGGCTTTTTTGGCGTTTTTGCAGATTGAACATGAACTAAACAGTTCGGAACAAACTGCACTTCACAAAAAAACGCTCGTCAGTTTATTGCCATTATAGTTGTATTCCTTTCACACCTAGGAGGAGCTCCGGAACAGCTCCGGGGCTTCACGCGCTTATTCCTTTCGAAAAGTGTTTGTCGTACCACGCATCTGTTCCCTGCAAATCGGGGGCTACTAAACACCGGAGCGAGTAGCTCGAGTGTTTCAAACTCTCGAAAGGAATACAACTATTAACACAAACGAACGCCCCAAAGCAGGAAGTGCTGCTCCAAACAACACAACCAAAAAAACCTATAGTTCTTTTCACGTGGCTCCGGTTTAACTAACCGGGTTATAAAACAGTTAGAGAAATGACATACCGTTTTTTTGTTAAACCGGAGCCACGTGAAAAGGGTTTATTGATTACAGTGACACTGTGACAATTTACTTCACTTTGACTTGTGAGAGTTTTAAATAAAAAAAATTGTTTTTGAAAACGTCTATTTCCATCCATAAACTATTGACAAATTTCGAGTTTTTCTTGTGATATAAAAATCAAAAATGGAACAAGACGAACAAGATTTAGAAGAAGGAGAAGTAAATTCAATCCCCAAATTACCAATTTCAGTTAATAGTTCTCTTGTTACCGTAGATCGAAGGCGACAGTGACGGTGGCGAAGTGGAATACACCCCACTGGAAAGACCTAAAAATTACGCCCTAGCGGTCCCTCTCAAACGATTTCCGGAAGTAAGCACCCGATATAGTGATAACGACGATGAGGATGAATCGCAATCTTCTCATGATGATAGTGATTCTGATACAAGCCTTAGAGCAAAGCAATCCAAGAAAATTAAGCTAAAACCTTTACCAAAACGCCAAGACAGGTCGAAAAAATACGATGTTTGGAGTACCAGAGCTCAAGAAGACGTCTTGGCTGAAACAATGATTAGCTGTGATGTCAGTCTGAGAGATAGATCGAGGGATGTAGAAAGTTACGATTATACAATAGCCCAAAAGTATTACGCGGAATTGGAGAACAAACAACATGGAACTAAAAGAACTAGGGATAATATGAAGAGCAATACATTTTTGCCTAAAAAGCGTGATCAAAGTGAGGAGGAAGAATTTAATGGAGCTCCAAGGGAAATTTCTGATTTAATTGTGAATAGTTCAAACAGTGTCGAAGAAATTGTTGAAGACATTGCAAGTAAATTGCATGAAAAAAGAGATGATCTTATTTGTAAGTTATTTAAACAGTAAATTAGGTAATTTAATAATGTTTGTTTGTTTTAGTAAAAGTTGTCCAAGCAATGGGCAAACAAAAAGCAATTGAAATATTTAAAGAAACCAGACAAATTGAAATTAAAGGAGGAATGCCTATAATGGTAAAGCTTTTGAATTCTATGAATATAAATTTCAATTTAATTGAATTACTTTTCAGAATCAAACAAGAAGGAGGACATCAGGTGGTATTTTTTTGTACTTAGTAAGAACAGATTACCATATAACTCCAGAACAAAAAAAATTAATTTTTGACGAGGAGAGGCAAATTTTCAAAGAAACAATCAAAGCAAAAAAGAAGAAAAAACATGACGCACTCAAAAAAATTGTACAAAAAGAAAGGACTGAATTATTGCCAGACCTCTTGACAAGAGCTGAACTTTATGCAAATAGAAATGTGAAAACGGAAGAAGAAAATTGCACTAACCCGCCGCCAAGTCCAGAGTCTGACCATCAAGAAAGTGCCGAGATTATGGAACCTCAAATACTGCCAGTAAAAATTAATGAAAATAAAGATGTTAGAGCAGGAGACTTGAAGACTTATGATGATGATTTTTTGGATATTAGTTTATGCGACAATGATATGGATTTGTTTTAGAATACAAAGGAAACAACATATTTTGAGAATTTTATTTTATCTTATGGAAAATCCAGCATCTACAACAGAAAATATATTTTATGTATTTTTCCTTTTTTTAATAAATATGTATTACCATTTGAGGTATAGTACACTCGACATGATCCAATGTAACAGTAGTTTTATCTTCGAATTGAGCCTGATAACACGCTCTAGCTGCAGCTTCTATGACTAGAGTTTTTGCTAATTCAGCTACCAACTCAACAGTGTCCTCTGACATTTTGTTTTTCGGGTTGCTGAATTTGGATTTCAGTAATTCCTTTAGAATGTCCTGAAGCAGCATTCCATTTGAAAAAAAAAATTGAGTGTCTTATAAATTGTTACTTACATGCCGAAAAGCTGTGGATATTTTTGAGGCGAGAAATGTTTCTTCTTCCATTTTTGAAACGATTTTTTGTTGTCCGACGTGAGGAAAAAAATCACATCTTTGGAATACAGGAATTTTGATGTCTATAACTGTTGCATTCTAATTAGGCAATTCAAACCACGTGACATTCAAGATGGCGTGGCGGCCACACATGGGCCAAAAAACACAAAAAAATATCTAGTTTCTGCCCGAATTAATAGTTTAGGTACCTAGTCAACAAATATTTTATTTAATGAAAATTAAAGTTGTAAGTAAAACTGTATGCAAAATAATTTAAAATTAGCATAAAAACATATTAAAAACAAACTTGCTTGGCCGCCACGCCACATTGAATTTTCCTTTTTGACAGATGGATTGAATTGCCTAATTCTATTCAAAGTAGAGTCAGGTCGCAAAGTATCGAAATTTACCGATAGTAGTTTTTGTAATATCGATAGTTGCTTGTAAAGCTTTGTCGATTTTGACAATCCGACCGAACCGACCCACAATCGTTTTTTTTTTAAAGATAGAAAGTTCTCTTGCCTCAGACGCTACGCTAATACGGTACCGCTAACAATACGGTATTTTGGATGGTATTAGAAAGTTCTCGTGCTTCCGACGCTACGCTAATACGGTAACGCTAACAATACGGTATTTTATATGGTATTTTATAGTTCTCGGACACGAAAACACAAAAATCCTCTAGGGTGGATTTTCATGTATCCGTTTGTCCGACGAAATATGTCCGAAAAATCTTTCGTCGGACAAACGGATGCATGAAAATCCACCCTAATCCCTTATTCCGTTTACATTTTGACAGCTGAACTGAGTGATGTAACCCAACTTTTTCTTGCTTGTTTGCTAACTTTTATTTACCCTGAAGATTCCTGAGTTTCATTAATTCTCCCTTGGTGTTTTCTATGGGGGAATTATTAGAAATTGCTGTCCGTGCAGACGTAAATGGAGCGTAAATTGTTTTTGACATAGCATAGCGTTACGGTAAGGCTTCCGCTAACTCCCGTTAGGTAGCGGGCTCCGCTAACGCTAATACCGTAAGAACTGTCATACTTGTCAAATAGCGTTACGGTATTTGAAATTTGGACGGCACGAGAACTCTCTATTTTATAGTTCTCGGACACGAAGACACAAATCCTCTACTCTAATCCCTATTTCTGTTTTCTTTTTCACAGCCGAGTTGAGAAATCGGACCCAACTTTTTTTTGCTAGTTTTCTAACTTTTATTTTTCGTGAAGATTCCTGAGCTTGATTAATTTTCCCTTGGTCTGTCTTATGGACGAATTATCGGAAGTTGCTGACGTTGCTGTTTTTTCAGACATAAATGGAGCGTAAACTAGTTTTGACATAGCATAGCGTTACGGTAGGCATCTGCTAAGTTCCGTTAGTTAACGGGCTTCGCTAATGACCGTAAGAACTGTCATACTAGTAGGTGGTAGACGCTTTTTACTCATTGGGCGTCGACCGGTGAGATACCACCATGCCAGAATTGAGTAGCGCTAAGTGGTATCACCACCTTCCGCTACTGCGCTGGCAGTCCGGTTCCAACAATGAGTAACAGATAGCATGATGGCGCCTCCAGGATCAAAATATTCCGGAGGTAAAATACCCGACCACTCGGATCTCCGGGCGTCGGGTGATCCTGGGGGTCCTGGTCCTTCATGCAAAGATATAAAGAGAAGATCAAAAACTCAACTCAGAATTGATTTTAGCAATATAAGAGGAATAAGTACAAATATGAATTCAGTTCACCAACATCTTGAAGAACAAAGACCAGACATCCTTGTTCTCACTGAAACTAAAATCAGTCCTGCAACACCTATTGTGAACTATCTTTATCCCGGCTATGACCTACACCACCGATTTCGACATAATTTTGGGATCTGTGTGTACATTAAAAATGACCTTTCATGTCATCGAGAGGAGAAGCTAGAACCAGCGAACCTTGATATCATATGGCTAAAATTCACCTCAAAGTCATCGACCAAGTTTATCTGCTGCCTCTACCGACCGCCAAGTAACACCGATTACCAAAACTTTTTCGCGACATTATCCGAAAGCTGTGATAGTATACAGTCAAACTATCCACAGGCGGAAATTGTCTTTTTAGGCGATTTCAACGTCCACAATATACCCTGGCTGAAACACCACAACAAAACAGATAACGAAGGCAGAGAAGCAGAAGCTTTTGCCATAAGTTGTGGTCTAACGCAGCTTGTCGATGAACCTACCCGTATCTCAGAAAGGGGCGAATTTGCAGCGCTTTTAGACTTGTTCCTAACCACAAATCCTGACTCGTACACAATTCAAGTAGATGCTCCACTTGGTTCGTCCGATCATAAACTTATAATAACAAAGTGCGAAATGCTCATCCCACCAAGCCAACAACCACTTCCTCGTAAAATGTGGCACTATAAATCGGCAAAATCGAATGACCTAAAACAGTTTTACCTGGATTTTCCATGGCAAGAGGTTTGCTTTAAAACAGCTGATCCCACTATTTGCTGTAATGAAATACCGTAGGATGGTGTGACATTGCAACTTGCGGGGAACTTTACACAGACATGTATATTTTTTTCTTAAAATTAATATTTTTGAAATGTGACAATGTAACAAATTTTTTGCTACACAAAACGGTCAAATACTTGCTGAAACATGTCTGCCCCAGCAACTGGTGGTTTAGTGGTTTTCGTTACTTTGCAATGTAAACATATATAAATTGTGCATTTTGACGTTCTCGAACGAAGGACAAAAGCTAAGGGATCCTCAGCTTCCTTATCAAGGTATGTATTCTATTATTGATATATAGTACTAAGTATTACTCTTTGTGAACACATTTCAAGGTATTTCAGAAACTCAATCATAAACATGGTAAAAATATTTCAAATTTCCGACGGTAGTGTGACTTTACACATTTTTTTTTCAAGAAAATTTGAAAATGGGCCGTATTTATAAGAAAAAGGTTGGTAGCCGCCCTTACAAAAATTATAACAATGAATCCCTTGAACGCACTATGCAATTAGTAAGAAACGGATCTTCCTATAGAGAAGCTGCTGCCAAGTTTGGAATGCCATGAAATAAGATGAAGGCCAAGCACACCAATAGTGTTGGCAGTCCCACACTTCTTACAGAGTTGGAAGAACGACATCTTGTTGATGTTCTCCAAGTTCTCCTAGCGGCGGCGGAATTCGGTAGTCCGTTAAGGGCGTTTGATTTACTTTTAAGTTCCTGAAAAACTTTTGTTCTTTTAATATTTAAGTTGAAGTGTACCTATTTTCCAAAGAATAATCTAGTTTTTTTTATTTCTATTATTTGGTGTTTATTTAGAGAGAATCTTTTTTATTTTTTGACCAAAATATATTAATTTTGTGCCTTGAAGGGTATATTTTGTTTTATTTTCTACGTTTATGATGTTTCTCATTCAAAAAAAAATCACAGGGTAGGTAGGTTACCTTTAAAACTTTTTTAAAACATAAATATTGTGTAAAGTCACCCTCAGAACGCACAAACATTGAAAAACCTAACACATTTAACCAGTGTGTAATTTCACACCATTGGAGGGAAACTTTACACACATTTTGAATTTTTAAAAAATATATCTGTCTGTACTTTTTTGAAAAATATTATAACCTGATTCGTTAGGAAACATCCGAATGTAGTACATATATCCGCCACTTGAATATGGCATCATGATTTAGGTGATTTTCTTTGTCAAATATCAAAAACTTGTTGCAAAGTAACATCATCCTACGGTAACACAAGTAATCTTATCTGGAATGGATGCATATATGGTTGGGAAATGGGTGATAAGCAAAAATTTCGCCAAGTAAAAAACAGTGAAAATAAGTGTAATTATTGTAAGAAAAACGTCTCAGAGTTTAGTGAGTGTGAAAACTGTGAGGAGAAATACCATCCTAGCTGTTCAGCCAGGGTAGCTAAACATAATAGTGGAAAAAAATTTGTCTGTTGTGATATTGGCAAGAGTGAGGTTAGACCACCAAGCACAACACGAAAAAACAGCGAAAAATCGGACAATTGTTTGGAAATGGACGAAAAAAGGCTTAGGGAGATTATTAAGGAATCATTTAAAAGCTACCTGGGCCCATTTGAGCAGAAAATTGATAAAAAAATTACTGAATTTGGGGCCTCAATTCAATTTATGTCTGATGCTTTCGAGGACCAAAAGCGAGTGTTCGAGGGCGTTCTGATGGAAAATCAAGTCCTTAAAAAGGAAAACGAGGAGTTGAAGAAGCGGCTGCAGTCGTTGGAAGGCCGAATGGATGCTTTTGAGGTCACTGAAAAATCTAAAAACCTGATAGTTGCGGGATCACCCCATTTGTGCTAATGTTCATTTGCTCTACCCACCCGAAGTCGCCTTCGGGCGGGAACGTCGGACGAGCCGAAGTCCGACCGGAGTATGACCCTCATCGAAACGAATGCAGTTGTTGTAGCGCAAATGGGTACAGCGTTGCCGTTCCCTCTCCATCTGGCGGGTATTTAAAATAGAAAATAGAATTCTATTTCGATATTTTTCAAGTATTGAGTGGGTGTGGTGTTTTGTTTACTTTAAAAATGGAAAATTTTAACTTTTAATATTTTATTGGTTAAATATTAATTTATTTTAACCTTCCATCGCGAGTTTTATAACATCATTAGTCACGCTGTATCACAGAGATACATATACTAAATCATTGATAAAAAAATTGAACCATCTGATGAATTTCGGTTTTACAATTTCTATGTATTGATTCGGGTACTCAACAATCAAAGATAGAACATTTTCACTGAGAAAGAGATTCCAGAAGTTGAATTCTATTTTCGCTATCTTAATGTTTCGAGCGCGCTCGGACTGCTCGGAGTTTACCGAGTGTAAAGCCACTGTGTGCAGAAGCTAGTTTCTGGATAGGAATTAGCAAATAAGCTATCCAAGTGCTCCTAAATAGTCGAAGAAGAACAGTCATTCAGATTTTTTTCATTACCAGGAATCACCTTTTCTACATTTAAAATCGATGAAGAAA